CAGAAGGCTTTTCTTTTAACCCTGTAACACGTGTTCACTAACATTTTACTTTCTAATAAATATAGGAGAGTTTTCAGAGCTCTCTGCCAACAAGGAGGATCCGACATACCTGCTCCCCGGTGGGCAGAGAGAAGACGTCGGCCCCAGGCCGCGCCCCTCCCCTCAGCGCGGCATAGTAAGCCAGAGCCGCTTCCCGATGGCCTTCAGGGTCATCCTCCAAAGCATCCACAGGGTAAACGCCTGCGAGGGGGACAAGGAGGCAAGAAAAGAAAGGCCATCAGTTTGACTCTTTTGTTAAAGGGAACATCACTTCTTGAAGAATAAAAAAAAGCCCTAGCTGGTGTGGCTCAGTGGATAGAGCGTCAACATGCGGACTGAAGGGTCCCAGGTTCGATTCCGGTCAAGGGCACATGCCTGGGTTGCAGGCTCCGATCAATGATTCTCTCTCATCATGGATGTTTCTCTCTCCCTCTCCCTTCTTCTCTAAAATCAATAAAAAATATATTGTTAAAAAAATCACCCAAAAGAACCCTATACAAACGATTCTCACTGCCCTGGCCAGGTGGCTCAGTGGGTTGGAGTGTCACCCCCATCCTGTACACCAGAAGGTGGCGGGTTTGATTTCGGGTCCGGGCACACACTTAGGCTGTGGATTTGACCCTCAGTCGGGGCGTGTACAGAGGCACCCAATCGATGTTTCTTTCTCACATCAATGTTTCTCTCTCTCTCTCCCCCTTCCTCTCTCTGAAGTCAATTAATTAAAAAAAAAATGTTCACCTATTTTGTAATGAAAAAAGGGCATTGCTGATGGCAGGGTTGGCACCGACCCAAGGAGATGAGGTTCAAGGACACACCTGGCCAGTGCGAGGGGCCTGAGGAAGTAAGGAGTCTGGGTGTCCGACGCATGAGCTGGGGGCGGAGTCAGCTGGCCACACTCATGTTGGTGGTGCCGGAAGGCAGACCCCGGCAGGGGCTTCCACTCCAGATGTGAAATGCTAACGGGCTTTAATGGCTTCCACGGGACAGGAAATCTTTTGCCAAAGCCAAAAGAATGTAATCTTTTCAATACAATGTAAGACGCTTTTATGAAAAAAGGCCCACAGTTGCAATGATAATTCGTTGCAGACTGTAAAGAAATGGAAATCCCCAAATGAGCCCCAAATGGAAGAACTCACTTTAAGCATATGTTTGCTGTAGTCATCCAACAAGCAAAACACTTAAATGTTTGTATTCCGGGGAAAATACTTAAATCATTCGGGATCTTTGGGCCAAAGCTTGCATGCCCAGGGTTGCTTGAAAGGCAGGCCACACACACACTCCTGAGCCACGGCCTGCCCCCCACTGGGGACCAGCCAGCCACTGCGGGGTAGGCCACTGCTGGTGAGTCGGGTAAGGCCTGATGCTCTAGGGCTTTCCCAGCACTTTTTGGTCCTCCCTATGTAAATAGCAATGCCAATAAATGAAGACCTTCACAGGGGTCGTTGCTTTGTACTTAATCATTGATTCAGTACAACTTGCTGAATATTCTCCCCAAATACCACTTCACTACAATGATTAGGAAAATTCTTTCATTTTAAGCAAAGTGTTTCGCATATGAGAAACATCAGTAAAGAAATTTTCAGAAATTTACTGAAAGCTTCTACCCATAGGTCACTGCACAGCATTACGTCATTGGAAAAGCTGGCTGTAATCACGTGTGTTTTTCAGTAATGGGGATTGTCATTTCAAAATTACAAAAACAACAGTTCTTGCTGATGATGTGAAAAAACTGTACCAGTAAAACAGCATTTGTCTTTTGCTTTTTAAAAATGGTTAAGAGTCGATATCACTTGTACAGAATTTTTGTTTTGTTTTGTTAAAAAATATATTTTTTTTGGTTTCAGAGAGGAAGGGAGAGGGAGAGAGAGAGAAACATCAATGATGAGAGAATCGTGGATCGGCTGCCTCCTGCACGCCCCCCACTGGGAACCGGGCCCGCAAACAGGGCGTGTGCCCGCACCAGGAATCGAACTGTGACCTCCTGGCTCATATGTTCATGTCCAACCACTGAGCCACACTGACCCGGCCTGAGAACTAACTACTTTTAAGTAACTTAAAACGTGATTACGTTAATTTATATTGTAACAGGGCTGCTGCATACAGCGGGAAATACGCAAGTACCCGCAGCTGTGCGAGGCAGTGCCTGGCATGTATACAGTATCGCAGAGTCCAAGGTGTGTGCACCTTTCAGAGACCAGCATTTCATGTCCCCAGGTCTGCCCTGAGGAGCACAGCTCCACAAGCTGAGCCGTGGAGGGAGCGCTTCTGAGGCCAGAACATGCAGAAAGGGGCCTTCGGTGGCGCTCAGCTCCGAGAAGGGGCGGCCCGCGTGCCTGTCAGCAATCAGGACATTGAGCAATTCTGCAGTGGAATTTGCTTAACCCAGCACTTCCTTCCCAAACTTCTTTAACCAGGGGCCCCTCATCCCAAACACTGACTGACAGATGACGAGACACACCTGCAAGGGGAGCGCTGTGACATAATGTCAGGGGCCAACAGCAAACATGCACCCGCCTGGCGCTAGGGCCCCATCCGGAGAGGGGCCGTGGGTGTCGGAGCGCTCCCCACCCGGAGAGGGGCCGGGGGTGTCGGAGCGTTCCCCACCCGGAGAGGGGCCGGGGGTCGGAGCGTTCCCCACCCGGAGAGGGGCCGTGGGTGTCGGAGCGCTCCCCACCCGGAGAGGGGCCGGGGGTGTCGGAGCGTTCCCCCCCCCTGGAGAGGGGCTGGGGGTGTCGGAGCGTTCCCCACCCGGAGAGGGGCCGGGGGTGTCGGAGCGTTCCCCCCCCCTGGAGAGGGGCTGGGGGTGTCGGAGCGTTCCCCACCCGGAGAGGGGCCGGGGGTGTCGGAGCGTTCCCCACCCGGAGAGGGGCGGGTGGGGGGTCGGAGCGTTCCCCACCCGGAGAGGGGCGGGGGGGGGGGTCGGAGCGTTCCCCACCCGGAGAGGGGCGGGGGGGGGGGTCGGAGCGTTCCCCACCGGGGAGGAGAGAACAGAAGGGAGGCAAAGACACACTTGGATATTTCCGTTGGTTCTTGATGATGAGCATCTGATTGCCAAACTATTCTTAGCCAGGAACTGAAAAATGGGAGCGCTGGAAGGCAGGATGTGGGGTATGTCAGAGGGTCTGAGCAGCTGAGGAAGCTCCGGGAAGGGTCTGCGAGTGGCGGGGGAGGCTGCCTTCCGGGTAATTGACAGGAGCCTGTGGCTCCGTTCTCACGTACTTAGTATTGGCCAATTCGCAGCCTGTCACTGGCTTGGCTGAGAATAAAGCCCTCGTCCCGAAGCTGAGATGGTAAAGTGTGCAGATGACTTTCTGTGCCACCCACACCAAGGTTTATGGCACTCTAATTGCCTTTAATATGCAGGTCCCCTCATCTGAACTTCGGGGAGTCTGATTATTCCCGCCGCCCCCACCCCCCCAATCACGCAAAAGGGTATGAGGTGGGACTGAAACATACGGTTCATTCTGCATGCAGAGGTGTCACACTGGGGGTCCCACGTGGAGCCCTGTTTGGGGCAGGCGGGAGGGAACAGCACCTCACCCAGCTGCTTCCTGTCACACCTCCCCACCAACAGGCAGTAGGTTTGGCTATGGGGACAAAGGCACTAGCTTTCCGACCTGATTTAAAACATCTCTGAACATATGAAAAATAGACCGCCATGACATGCCAGCATAAACCACAGAATCAGACACTCAACCACCACAAAGACGGACATTATCCAATATAGAAGATATGGATATTAAATGTGTTAAAGGTCAGTCCTGGCTGGTTTGGCTCAGTGGCTAGAACATCGGCCAGTGGACTGAAGGGCCCATGGTTCGATTCCAGTCAAGGGCAGGTACCTCGGTTACAGGGTAGATCCCCACCCAGGTCGGGGCTTGGGGAAAAGACAACCAATCAATGCATCTGTCTCACATCGATGTTTCTTTCTCTCTCTCTCTCTCTCCCCCTCCCTTCCACTCTCTTTAATAATAAATGGGAAAATATCCTCGGGTTAGGATTAACAAGAATAACAACAAAAAAAGAAGTTTAAATAGCCAAGTTTTTTTCATTTGCCCAATAAGATTCTAGGGGAAAAGAGAGTAGATCTAGAAATGAATGTCCTAAATAGCCAATGAACTGAAAAAAAAAAAAATGTATGAAGAAATTACCCAGAATGCAGCATAGAAGCAAAACATGAAAAGCAGGTTAAGAGACATGGAGAGCAGGTTGAGGAGCTCCAGGAAGAGTGTAACTGAAGTCCCAGAAGAAGAAAAAGAGTAATAAAGATTTGAAGAAATAAAGACTGAATTTTTTTCAGAATTAATGAAAGACACCGATCCTCAGACTCTGGAATCCCAACCAAGCCAAGCCAGTTTACAATCCCATACAATCCCAGAGCAAGTTTACAACTGACTAACTTCAGAATTAACTGGAGCTAATACGTACACTACAATTTCCAAGTTCTCCCCTGAAAGAATAGAAACATAGATATTAAATTTCAAAAGAGGAGAGAGAGAAAATGGAATCAAGGCAAGAATGGGGGGAGGGAGAATCTCCGTTTAAAAGAAGGCAAGAAATGAAAACAGGATGACCTGTGCGCAGCTAAATTCAGACTTAATCGTTATTTACTTAAATTCATTTTTAATTCTGCATTTATTGGTTATGATCAAAAACAGATATTTACCAACAAGTAACTAGGCTATGTTTTTGCAGGACAGATGTTGTTTTATTAGTGTTTTTACCCCAAGTATTTTTTAAAGACTTTAATGAGATGTTTATTCAATATTCATGTATTATGAAAAACATTAAGCAGTACCTTTCCTTCTGCATAGCTTAAAAATACCCGCCCCCCTCCGCCCCCCGGATGCTCTACCAGCACCAACACGGGCAGCACACGTGCACCATGCAAATCATTTACTGGAAACATAAAGGTCAAAACGAACAACTGACTGTAATTCACTGGGCCTTTTACCCCTCTGCCCGCATACATGCACATCAAAAACAGCGCATGAAGCAGCAGGTAACGGAGAAGGGGGCAGGGACACAGCCCCAGAGGGAGGGCTCACACAGTGCGGACTCCACAACACGGGCTTCTCAAGCACTTACACGGGATGAAACATCCGGGAACTTTGATGAGGGTTGATTTCAGCAAAATGCAAGAAAGCAAACAGGGCTCTCTCTCGTGTTAATGGAATTTGTGAGTAGTGGGTAGAGACTTGGTTTCCAAGAAGAACACATTGCTCTTGATTCCTGCAAGTCAAGGAAACGCAGTGGTCTAGGAGGGTGGGGCCTGGGGAGCCCCCACTACGCCTGCATGTGCACAGGCGCTCTCCCCCAGCCCTCCCGGAGGGCCCCCCCACCCGGCCCTCAGCCTCCGGTGGTGCCCAGCGGCCCCCGGGCTGCACTGCTTTGAAGGAGCAAAGAAGCACCAAGAGGTTTCTAGCCCGGCCAGGGTAGCTCAGTGGTTGAGCTTCAACATATGAACCAGAAGGTCAGGGTTCAATTCCCGGTCAGGGCACATGCCCGGGTTGTGGGCTTGATCCCTCGTAGGGGGTGTGCAGGAGGCAGCCGATCCATGATTCTCTCTCATCACTGACATTTCTCTCTCTCCCTCTCCCTTCCTCTCTCTGAAATCAATACTGATTTCAGATCAACTGACAACAGGCATTGGTTTAAGCAGGAAACGAGGGCACTGACCGGGCACTGGAGTATGACAAGGCTCCAGGGGGCCAGAGCAGGGGGTGGGGAAAGACAAGCCTGGATTTCAACAGACAGTGGCCTTCAGAGTCACACATGCGGTGTGCTGCACCCCCACCCAAGCCTGCTGATTGCTGGCCTTGGAGCGGAAACGCCCCAGCTGAGGTTGGGGTGCACTCAAAAGCACGGAGTTTGCAAATCACAGCTGCTTCATCATCATCATCATCATCATCATCATCATCATCATCGTAAGCGTGAGTTACTCAAAGGCCCCAGACTTTCAGTGGTGACTGATAGTCACCTAACTGCACCGCCCCACCCCCAGGAACCCTGATTTTAAAAGTCACATGGCCTCTAGGCAGCTAACAGCAATCGTGATTGAGTTTTGCCCTGAAGTAGGTTCCTAAAAGACACAGCACAGCAGAGGGCACAGGCTCTCCTGTGACCCTGTCGGGAAGCCCCCGCGCTGAGCCACAGGAAGGATGCCCGCAGAGGAGCAGGGAGCCAGCTGCCCACAGGAGTCCAGCTCAGGCCGGTCCGCTGGTCAGCAGACAAGGGTTTCAAAGGTCGAAAAACAACACCTCAGTGCCCACTGCCCTCCCACCGCCCAGCCCGAGTCCTGACCTCCGGGTCATTCACTCTGTCCGGCCAGGACAGGGTCAGGAACCAGTAGAGATCCCAGGAAACAATACAGCCCTTGCTGTCTAAACGTGGGGGCGGCCCGGCCGGCGTGGCTCAGTGGTTGAGCATCGACCTATGAACCAGGAGGTCCCTATTCGATTCCTGGTCAGGGCACAGGCCCGGGTTGTGGGCTCGATCCCCAGTAGGGGGTGTGCAGGAGGCAACCAATCCATGATTCTCTCATCATTGATGTTTCTCTCTCTCTCTCCCTCCCTTCCTCTCTGAAATCAATAAAAATATATTTTTAAAAAATAAAGAAAAGCACAATTGTTAGATTAACGCTTCCGGCTGGAGAAAAAAGGATTCTCTGGAAACGTGATGTGCTCAAGCCCCTGTTGGAAATGGGCTATGCAAGCTGAGGCGGGGGCAGCTGTGCAGAGCCCCTCTCCATTAGGGTCTAGCGCGTGTGGACATGATCGAGGGACTGCTGTGTGTTCTGGGCCATCGGCAACTGCGAAGGCGCAAGCGAACGCTGAAATAAACACAGGAAAATCTTTAAACCATTTTGGCCGACTACACTTTTTCAGAAGACGAAATGAACCATTACTTTTCCCTGAAACAAGGAAGGAGGACTGGGTGGAGCCACACAGCAGGGGCAGTGGCTGGGAGGAAGTTGAAACAAGGAAGTAGGCCTGGGTGGGGCCACACAGCAGGGGCAGTGGCTGGGAGGAAGTCTCTGACTCGAGGTACCCCTAGGCAGAGGGGAGGGAGGAAGCTTGGTCTAGAACCTGTGCAGTCGGACTGGCTAAGCGTTAAAATGTGCGATATTCCTGCAAGTCCCTAAGTGGGCAAAATCTCCATTCTGCACACAAGGAAGATGAGATCAAAAGAGAAAGTCACTGCCCTGGCTGGGTTGCTCAGTGGATAGAATGTCCGTCCAGGACCGCAAGGTCCTGGGTTCGATTCTGGTCAAGGGCACGTACCTGGGTGGTAGGCTCCTCCCCAGCCGGGGCCCCAATGTGCAGGAGGCAACCAATGGATCTTTCTCTCTGTCTTTCCTTCTCTCTTCCATTCTCTCTAAAAATCAATAGAAAAATATCTTTGGGAGAGGATTAAAAAAAAAAAGAGTAAGTCACTTTTTCTCTTGCCACAGCTTTCAAACATATCCACAGCCAAGACAAAGGACATTCTAGAAAGCATTAAAAAAAAAAAAAAAAGGAAAAAGGAATCAGTGTCTCCCCCTCTAAAGACAGAGACAAATCCCTTGTCACCTAGACCCATGCCAACTTCCAGGAGGAATGTAGCTCATGCAGACAAGTGGCTAGAGGCCACCTTCCCTCCTCAGCTCCCTGAGCCAGGGGGACAGCGCTCAGGTGAGGTCATAAACACGAGGGCTTCCTCTAAGGCCAGGGGCAGTTCTAGGGTTTAGGCAACGAGCTGCAATCAAACCAGTTTTGCCACCGCCACCCGATATAAAGGAGAGTTAGGTTCCTCCCGCATCTCATCCACATAACGACAAAACGACGTGGTTTCTAACGGAGGGCCTCTCAGGGAGGGGTGTGCGCTGAGGAATGTGTCCTCAGGCCGGTCACAGTGACCCTACCTTAGAGACCTCCCCTTTCTCAGGGCGCCACGCCCCTACCCTGCTCCCTGCAAACCCTCCCTCCCGGCGGCGGCGGGACTGGCTGACACCCCTCTCCTGGGTTTCATGTGCTTTTTCTCTGACGCTCTATCCGCACAGGCCCCGGGAGACCTGCCCCGCCTGCCTGCGTGCCCAGGGCGGACCTGGCAGTCGCCATGGACGGGGCGACAGGGGCGCCTGCGGGAACCCGAGGTGCTGCGCTGACTTCTCCCCCACTGTGCGCTTCCCAAGCCCAGGTCAGCAGTCCCTACGCCGGGTGGCCCCTGGGCGGCCGGAGAGGCGGGTCTGCTCCTGGGGGGTGAGCGCCAGCACCCGCCAGCCCTTCTCGCTCCCTGGAGGCGACAGGTGCAGGGTCAGGAGCCCTCCCTGGCCGGGGCGCTGTTTACCGTCCGCTTTGCAGCCTGTCGGCCAGCCCAGCATTGAAACCCGACACGAGGGGAGGGCCAGCGGGCGGCGGACAGAGAAAGGCAGGCGGCTCGGGGCTGGCCGGCCGGACCCTCCTTACCTGTGGCTCCCCAGGCCGCCCCCGCCTCCATGCTCCTGCTCCCTGTGGGTGATGCGCCCGACTTCACCCGCTCTGCTCCCGCCTTCTCCCCCGCCCCCACCCCCGCCCCCGGGGCTGCCCCGGCTCCTTCCCCAGGGGCCGCCCCAGTTCCCTTCCCAGGGGTCCCCCTCTCCCCTGCCCCTGCACTGGAGCCGACACCATGCAGTCTTCACCGCTAGCGACACCCGGCTCCCAAGTTCTGCAAAGCTAGTGCGCCACCTCCAAGAGCTATTTAATTCCCCTTAATTCTTTAGGAAAGGAAACCGTTCGTGCCCCCACGCCTCGCCAGGGTCCCGGGGCACCCCCTCTCCGTGCCCCTTCCCACTTCCTCCTATTTCTATAGACAACGTTTGCATTCTCTCTTTTCGAAAATTTACACACTTGAAAAGTGAATGACACACACATTAGAGGGCACTCCTTAACATCACCGCCCACTCCAAAGTCTTTTGATCCTGACAACGGTGGAGTTGCTGCTTTTATTGACAGCCACTCTTTTATTTAAGCTTATACTCACTCGAAATAGAAAATGTCACAAGAGGCCATTGTTTCTCCAATATTTTACCTTGGCCTGTTTCAGGGTGCTTTTCCCCAGGGGAGGCGGGGAGCAGGCGGGTTGTAAAATGCCACCAGCCTTGGAACCCACAGGCCTGTGGCCAGTCAGGTGGTGGTGTCTCCCCTCTTTGGTTGGCAGCTCTGAAGTTTGTGCTCCTGGACAAATGCATCCTAAGCCCTTTGGGGCCGCTGTCCCACATGGATCCCACACTCATCTGCCGGCCTTGTCCCTCCGCCCCAGCAAATAGTGGCTGGGGGTGGGGGGCTCCCAGCTGCTCCCCCGTCTTGGGAGCCACCTATGTAAGGAAGGCCAGGGCACCCCCCACGCACAGGATGAAAATGGCCCCAGTTCTGCTCCATCGCACAGGCTGCAGATGCACTCACTGCATCCCAGCGCCACAAGGCCCCCTCACAGCCGTCCTGGAGTCACCTTTCGCACGTCTGAGATCTCATGTGTCGAGATGGAAACAGAGCCACCTGGGCCATAGCACTCAGGACACTTGCTCCTCCAAACACCGGGCCTCCCTCGACATTGACTAGGCTCTGCTCTGTGCCCCAAAGACCATGGGGACACCAAGCATGAGGGAAGGGGAATGGCCAGGGCTGCAGCCAGTGCAGAGGCCGGGAGGCGCGAAGAGAAATGTCTGGCTCCTCACCCATTGTGAACTCCCTACTCATCATGGGTGTTACTCAAGCTTCTGGCACGTAGGGAGAAAGGCTTATTAATCTCCGCTTTAAAACGCACTTCTTCAAGGCCTTGTTACTTTTTTAAAAAGGTTTTTTAAAAGTATGTTTTTATTGATTTTTTTTTTTAGAGAGAAAAAGACCAAGTTTAACCCATGCCTAAGTATGGGAACCCTGTAGACATGAGAGGCTCACAGACCCACATACAGGAGAGGTTTAAAGACAGAAAAGGGGGCCCAGCCGGCGAGGCTCAGTGGTTGAGTGTCGACCGATGAAGCAGGAGGTCGCTGTTCAATTCCAGGTCGGCACATGCCTGGGTTGTGGGCTAGATCCTCAGTGTGGGGCGTGCAGGAGGCAGCTGATCAATGATTCTCATCATCGAGGTTTTTATCTCCCTCTCCCTCTCCCTCTCCCTTCCCCTCTGAAATAAAAATACATTTTAAAAAAAGAGAGGGGACAATGAGATATATATGGAATTCTGAGCTAAGGGTCACCTTGGGACTTCAGAGAGGAGGACGGTATTGCGGACAGTAAGAGAAACAGGTGTTCAGTAATTAGAAGTTTCCCTGCCATATAGATAAGTCAGAAAATTGTTTCTGATAATCTCTTATTGTGGGCAAGGCCTCTAATTTAAATTCTTCTAGGCGGACTTTCTCTTCAGCCTGCAGGGTCTTGGTTGCCTTCAGCTCAAAACCATTTGCATGCCACGGAGGCACATCTTGGGGTGACTGGCTTGGAGCCCCTACACCACAAAGCCCTATCTTGCTTCCCAGAGGAGGAAAATTGTATTCTGGTGCCGGGTTTGGCAAACTACAGCCCACTGCCTATATCTGTACAGCCTGTGAGCTAAGAATAGTGTTTACGTTTGTAAATAGCTGGGGGAGGAGATGAGAAGCATAAAAAATAAAGCCATCTGTGACACCTGGGCATTATATGAAGTTCAAAACTCAGCATCCATAAGTAACTACTGGAACCAAGCCCCGCCCATCATTTGCATATATGGATGGCAGCTTCAGGCCACAACAGTAGGGCTGAATAGTTGCAACAGAAACCACTGGCCCAGGAAGCCTGAAACGCTGAGGATCTGGCCCCTGACAGAAAGTGGGTGCTGCCCCTGGAGCATTAAGCTGAAAAGGCAAAGGAATAAGGGAGGGTGCGTCCAAAAGGCTACCCTGAAAACCTGTTAGTGCTTTGACAAGAGGCAGGTTGGCTTGAGTTCTGTGTTATAAGTAAGTGATCTGGAAGCAGTGATGTTGGACACAGGGAAGAGCTATTGCTATTATTTTATTTATTTACTTTAAGAAACATGTTTTTATTGATTTTTAGAAAGAGAGGAAGGGAGAGGGAGAGAGGCCTCCTGGACACCCCACACTGGGGATCGAGCCCGCAACCCAGGCAAGCACCCCGACCGGGAATGGAACCGTGACCTCCTGGTTCCTAGGTCGACGCTCAACCACTGAGCCACGCCGGCGGGGCTTCTTGGGGTGTGGTAAGTTAACTCTAGGAGATACCAGTTACCACAGCAGACCTCATTAGCTGGTGCTGCTATCAGAATCTGACCCTCAATGCAGCCAACTTCACAAATGTGGGCATTGCTAGTGGCCTAATCTTGCTTATAACTGTGACAGGCAGGTCAAGAACGCTGACAGAACCAGGTACGAGTGGTGAACTTGGGGAGCCATCGTGCATTAGAAGGGGGTTCAGATACCATCAAGAATGCCAGAGGGAGTATGAGCAACCGGGTAACTGCTTTCCAACTTGAACGTGGGTCCTGTATACTTTCCTCTCCAGCTGAGGTGCCGTGCACAGGCCTCTGCACCCCCCGCAGGACAAGGTGGCCCAGCCTCTGAGCAGGCCGGGGAGGCCACGGGGGACAAACGCCACTTCCCATCCCTTCTCTGCAAATAGCCTGCAACCCATACCAGGGGCCAATGAAAGGGGATGGCTGTGGGTTCTGGGTCTCAGGAAGGCACCCGGTGGAGCCTTGCCCTTGGCAAAGACCCCAACTCAGGGTGGGGGACTGTTTTTACCAAGGGGGACAATTAAGAGGGGACCACGTGGTCATGCCCTCCAATAGAGGGCCCTCTGAACGTGGGGAAGCTCCCTGGTACTGGGCAAGCCACGGGGCTACACCCAGACGGGGAAAAAGAATTGTTTTTTGTAGCTCATATCAATCAGCTTTAAAAAAAAAAAGTATTTTTAGTTTTATACAAGGTGCTTTTGTGCTCGTTTTTTGTTAAACCTAATGGTTTGTTAACGTGCCTTAGGACCCACAGCTTACAGGCAATGGGGCTTCAACCAACACTATTAATCATAACCATCATCTGGCGTTTGGTTTTCTTTTTCTTTCATTCATTGTTTTCGCCCTTTTCTTTTCTTTCTTTCCTTTTTTTTTTTTTTTGAACATATTTTGCAGAATCAGTTTCAAGAGCAACCTCATCAAGTCATAATGGCCAAACGCGAGAACTCGGGGGCAGGTGGGGGTGACTGAAGCGGAGAAAACCTAACCGAGCAACTTGTAGGGTCACCCACCTCCTGGTTTGCCCAGGACTGTACCAATTTCAGCCCATTTTAGCGCCCCCCCCCCCCCCCATAATCCCAGAAACCCTCAGACCCAGGCAAAGCAGGCCAGACAGTTGCCAACCTCTCCTTCGAATCATACCAAGCAGCACACTGGCTGAGACCCAGTGGCCAGCAAGTCCCAGATGGCTCCGCCTCTGCGTCCGGAGCTGGCTTTCTGCTTTCAAGGGCATCGTCTTACCACCCTCCCCCACCCCAGAGTCTTCAGGCTTTAGGGGCCCCGGAATGCTGAGGGACCCCGTGGCTAGATCCCCCTATAGGAGCAGGAGGAGGGGCACCCCGTGTCCGGGCTGTGTCACGGCCATCTGACCCGGGAGGCACAGAGGCACGCGCCCCACTCCGGTTTCATGGAGCCCCGGCCTGGCTGCGTGGTGGTGACCGGTAAGCCTGTTTGTCTGCTTTCCCAGGTGCCGCTGCCTGTAGCCTGGCCCTGATTCTGGTCATAACCGGTTCCCGGCGGAGAAGACAGAGCAGCTAGCTGTGGTGCCAATCACTCCAGAAGGAAGCCAACTCCCAGCTCTGCCTGTTCAGAACCGGCAGCGGACAGAGGCGTTTCCACTCCCTCCTGCCGTTCGCTACAAACAGCTTCTGAATGGCAGGCATGGAAGCGCCCACCTGTGGCTGAGGCCCAGCCCTTGACCTTCAGCCCATCAGGGAGGAAGCCAGTGGGCCCAGGTGGCCTCTGCGGGGTGCAGTTTCATAGCCAGGAAGGAGGAGCTGGGGTCCCAGAAAGGACAGGGCCTCAAAAAGCTGGGGCAGTCCATCTGCAGTGCCCACCCCCAAAGGTACCCACCCCCACCCGCAGACCAGAGAGCTTTGGGCCCCTCAGAAAACCACGAGGCACCCTGAGAGCCACCAGTTGGAAACTGAACCCAAAAGGCCACCTGGGAAGGAATGGTGCTGCCCACTCCTGCCCAAATCCACCCCAGCACACCCCAAATCCACCCCAGCCCCCCAAGCCATTGTCACAGCTGGGCTTCTGGAGGGCTTGTTTTGTGGGCTTGTTTTGTTTTTTGTTAATCCTCACCCAAAGCTATCCTTCCATTGATTTTTATTTTTATTTTGGTGGTGGTGGTGTTAATCCTCACCCAAGGATATTTTTCCATTGGTTTTTAGAGCGAGTAGAAGGTAGGGAGGGCAAGAGAGAGAGAGAGAGAAACATTGATGAGAGGCAACACTGATTGGCTGCCTCCTGCATGTGCCCCAATCTAGGCTGGGGTCGAGCCTGCAACCCAGGTACGTGCCCCTGACCAGCATCGAACCCGGGACCGTGCAGTCCGCAGGCTGCCACTCTATCTACTGAGCCAGACTGGTTAGGGGGAGGGTTTGATTTCTTTACAAAGCTCTTTCTTTTTACTTAGACATAACTGGCACATTTTCAGTTTTTGGAATTGTGCTGGACGAAGGCAACAGAGGCAAGACAAGGATTCCTCTGTGTGTGGCAAATCACAAGTTACCTATCTAAACATTTTCAGCCTATAATCAAACTCCTCTTAACCTTCTGAGGAAAAGAACGCTCTTTTGAAAACCTTTCATCAACCCTGCTCTCACTGGTATCTGGGTATGGAGACTGGTTCCAATGACCCTGGAATTCCTAAGGAAACTATAGCTCTGGTAAACGAACACTTGTCACCCATGAACTATGAATCCTGAAGCGCCAGGGCCGGTCTTAGGCTCACGCGGACCCACTTGCTGGCCAACCTGAGACTGCTGCTGAGGCACCTGTCCATCGGCTGTGGCTTCCAGGGGGCGGCCGGCCTTTATTAAAAATGCTGCACTGCCAGGGGCAGTCTTTTCCTTTCATTGGATTTGCTTCGTGTGTGAATCTGGCTGAGACAACTGGCATGGAGACAGACGATGGGAAAACAAGGGCTCAAGATCAAGGTGTCCTTGCCCAGCTGGTGTGGCTCAGTGGCTGAGCATCGACCTATGAGCCAGGAGGTCACAGTTCGATTCCCGGTCAGGGCACATGCCCGGGTTGTGGACTCCATCCCCAGTGGGGGGCGTGCAGGAGGCAGCCGATACATGATTCTCTCTCATCACAGAGGTTTCTCTCTCTCTTCCTCTCCCTTTCTCTCTGAAATCAATAAAAATATATATTAGGAGAGCAAGGCCTCACATCCTGTGATGCTCCCAGACTGGGGAGGTCGCAGGCCTCCAAGGAAGGGGTGTGGGAGTTCCCGGGGACCCACAATGGCTCTGGGGGCAGCCCAGGAGAAACACCCTAACCCTCCCCCCCCCCCCCCCCCAACAAGGCCTGGCCTGAGCAAACCAGAATCTCCCTGATTTCAGGTTTCGGGCCCTTCCGGCAGCACCTGGTGAATTCCAGCTGGGAAGCAGTGAAGGTAAACATGGGCCAGGCCAGCTCCTTTGGGGGCCAGCTCCATGAGGGAGGGGCCCTGGGGAAGGGCTGGCCTCTGGGCCTTGGGTGGGTCCTCGCCTGCCCCAGGTGGCCCTTTTGGCTGTGTGGTAAAACAACAACAAGGCTAGCCCAGCCTGTGTGGCTCAGTGGTTGAGCACTGACCTATGAACCAGGAGGTCACTGTTTGATTCCCAGTCAGGGCACATGCCCAGGGTGCGACTTGGTCCCCATTGGGGGGCATGCAGGGGGCAGCCAATCAACCATTCTCTCTCATCATTGATGTTTCTCTCTTTCTCCCTCTCTCTGTCCTCTCTGAAATCAGTAAAAATGTGGTGGTGTTTTTTGTAAGTGGTTGCCAGGAAAGCTGGTTGCTACAGTAGGTGAGGTCCCTGTAGTGTAGACAATGGGGAGAAATGGGGGGGGGGGGTGTCTCGTTTTATCCTCAGGCTGGTTATCATCTCAGGCCTTCTCATATTAACAAGAACACAAAACAAAATCCACCGTGGGCTTACTTACTAGCCCCGACCAGCGACCAAACCCGAAACCTAGGTATATGCCCTTGACCAGGAATCGAACCCACCACCCTTTGGTTTTGGTGTATGGGACGATGCTGCAACCAACGGAGCCACAGGGCCAGGGCTGCCTGCCTCTTTCCACAGGAGCTCTCCCAGCTGGGCCTGGGGAGCGACGCGGAGGTGGAGCTGCGGACGCTTCAGCTGCCCGTGGATTACAGGGAGGTGAAGCGGAGAGTCACCAGAATCTGGGAAGATCTGCAACCGCGAGTAAATGACGGCTGGGGAGCCACAGCTGGGGAGCCAGTGGGGGGGTGTGGGGGGGTTGCTGATGATGAGATGGAGCCCCAGAGCCTGGGAACCCCTGGACCCCGGTTCTAGAGTTGCTGGCTTAAGTGCACCCCCCGGCCCTGCATCTCACCAGCACAATCCAGTGGGGTTTATAAGGTTCTGGGCCTGTTTCTCAACGTTTCAGCTGTAATAAATGCAGCCCAGCCGGCGTGGCCCAGCGGATGAGCTCCGGCCTAGGAACCAGGAGGTCACAGTTCGATTCCCCGTCAGGGCACATGCCCGGGTTGTGGGCTCGAACCCCAGCAGGGGGCCTGCAGGAGGCAGCCCACCCATGACTCTCTTTCATCACTGATGTTTCTCTCTCTCAAATCAATATCTATGTGGGGTTTTTTTTGGTTTGTTTGTTATAATGGAAGCTTTATTCCCAGCCAGGACTCCAAAGATAAGTTTCCCCCTAACAGACAGGCCTCGAGTTAGTTGCCAGCCACGCCCATGCAGGGAAGGTCGCTGTGAAGCGGGACCTCGTGGGCCCCGGGGAGGGCCACCTGCCTTACACCCAGCCCAGTGGTTCTCAACCTTCTGGCCCTTTAAATACAGTTCCTCATGTGGTGACCCCCAACCATAAAATTATTTTCGTGGCTACTTCATCACTGTCATGTTGCTACTGTGATGAATCGTCATGTCAATATCTGATATGCAGGATGGTCTTAGGCGACCCCTGTGAAAGGGTCGTTCGACCGCCAAAGGGGTGGCGACCCACAGGTTGAGAACCGCTGACCCAGCCCCTCTTATCCCAACAGCTACTTATATACAAAACGGGTTCAAATATCCCGCAAATACTACAGAGCCCGGGTGACGACAGGAGCAAAACAGACACCTCCACCCCATTGAGACAACGCCCCAAGGGCCTCGATTAGCTGTGTTTCCAAGAGGAAAAACAACCCCTTCAAGACATTCTGAGACCGACTTCCTGCCTCAGCGTTGCCAAGGCAACGCCAGGCGTCCCCTGTGGTCTCAGAGCGCAGCGGGGACCCCCGGGGGAAGGGGGGGAACACAGAGGAATATTCCACCCTGTGCGCGGGTATTTTTAAATATAAAAGCATTTACATAGACGACGCCTCACGGTTTTCTATCCGGCGGAATGAGGGGAAGGAGGGAGGAGGCCCGAAAGCGCAGTCGCGGTTTGAGAGGTTCTCCCCGCCTCGCACTCGCCCCCGGCTGGGCCCTCGGGACAGATGGTGACAGACAGGCCTCAGTTTCCCTAAATTCCCCGCCGCCCCCTGTCCGCACAGCTCACCGTGCACGTGGGCGTGGACGCCGCCGCCAAGGCCGTGGTTCTCGAGCAGCGCGGCCGGAACCGCGGGTATCGCGAGACCGACGTCCGGGGCTTCCGGCCCGAGCAGGGCGCGTGCGTCCCGGATGGCCCGGAAGTGATCGAGTCGCGGGTTGACCTGAAGGCCGTCAGCAGGCGCGTGGCCGTGGAGGGCGTGGAGGTGATGTTCTCCCGCGATGCGGGCAGGTGCGTTTCGTCGCGTCACTGAGCAGGAAGGAGAGGATGACCCTCCTTTCTTTTTCTTTTTTTTTTTAAATAAATATATTTTTATTGATTTCAGAGAGGAAGGGAGAGGGAGAGCATCATGGATCGGCTGCCTCCTGCAGGCCGCCTCCTGGGGATCCAGCCCGCAAGCCAGGGCATGTGCCCTGACCGGAAATGGAACGGTGACCTCCTGGCTCACAGGTTGAGGCTCAACCACTGGGCCACACCGGCCGGCCTACCCATCTTTCTTCTAGGATGTCTCCCTTGTAAAAGGCCGTGTGCCCTTCCACGGGGCCCTTGGGCACCCATTGGCCCCCCAGGGTGGTCCTTGCAGACCAGGTAGCCTGTTGCCCCCCCCACCCTGCATCCCAAGGTCCCCTCCCCCTAACACAGCCTTGGGTGCATTGGTAGAAAAAAAGATGTGATGGCACATTTTGAGAGCCGCTCATAGTTTGGGGGTGCTTTATTTTTATTGATTGCAGCCAACGTGGTGCTTGAACTATTCTGATAGATTAACTTATCTTTGTTTCTCCAAACTCTGACTCCCAGTAGGTGGCTTCTCCTCCCCGCAAAAAAAAAATAAATAAATAAAAAATGAATGAATGTAAACACGATTGAAAGGTGAAAGGGTTAAAGGTGAAGCCGGCTTGGCCACTTGCTGGTCATAAGACCACGAGGCTAAGAGCTGGCCTCTCCCCAGCTTATTCCCAGTAACACCTTCTTTCTTTTCTTTCTTAAAAATATATTTTATTGATTTTTTGCAGAGAGGAAGGGAGAGGGATAGAGAGTTAGAAACAGCGATTAGAGCAGTGGTTCCCAGCCTTCCTAATGCCGCGACCCTTTCATACAGTTCCTCATGTTGTGGTGACCCGCAACCATAAAGTTATTTTCGTTGCTACTTCATCACTGTCATTTTGCTACTGTTATGAATCGTCATGTAAATATCTGATACGCAGGATGTATTTTCATGGTTACAAATTGAACATAATGAAAGCATAGTGATTAATCACAAAAACAATATGTAATTATATGTGTGTTTTCCCATGGCCTTAGGCGACCCCTGTGAAAGGGTCGTTCGTCCCCCAAAGGAGTTGCGACCCACAGGTTGAGAACCGCTGGATTAGAGAGAAACATCGATCAGCTGCCTCCTGCATACCCCTCACTGGGGATGTGCCCGCAACCCAGGTACATGCCCTTGACCGGAATCGAACCTGGGACCCTTCAGTCCGCAGGCTGATGCTCTAGCCACTGAGCCAAACCGGTTAGGGCAACACCTTCTTTCTGAGGCAGAAGGAGAAGACCTCCGTCTCCCTGGGTGGCAGTCCTCCCTCCTGACGGTTTGGGGATGCTACAGCACCACAGCTGCTTACCTCTCTCTGGTCCAGCGAGTCACCTGGGTTTCCTGCGGTTGCAGATACGTCTGCGATTACACCTACTACCTGTCTTTGCATCACGGAAATGGGCGTGCGGCCCTCATCCACGTGCCCCCGTTGTCTCCGGAGCTCCCCGCCAGCCTGCTGGGGAAAGCCCTGCAAGTCGTCATCCAGGAGATGTTGGCGGACGGTGAGAACGCCCAAGGTCAAAGCCTGGTGCCCAGAAAAACCCTCGGTGGTTCCAGCCAGGCAGAACCAACCCGGGCGCTGCCCCTTTGGAGACAAGGGGATGTGTCAGTCCCGTGTGGAGAGTTCAGCTGTGCTTGGGGAGGCGTTTTACAAAATCGCTTGTAACACAGTTTACACGGAGGGCCAAGTTCTGAATTAGCCCCATGAAGTCACAGAGTTGTTTCATTGTCAGAAGGCAGGACAACACTCTGAAAGGCAGACATTTCACCAGGAATTAAACTAGCTCCGGTTATGGTTTTCATGACAGTGAAATGAAAGCCTAGTCATTTTTTTTTTTCCTCTTAGACAAGATGCAGCCGCGGTGGGCTGATCCATGACCACCTGGCCGTGGGGACATACAGGTGTGGTCACCGCTCGGCGCCCCATTCCTGACCTTGAGCTCTGACATCCAGGCGCTGTGGGCACCTTTGAGCCACTGAGTTGCAATTGTTTCTTTTTCTCTTGTCCTTTTTCAACTTAAGGGAAAAAAAAAAATGGTGGTAACGTCATACTGTTTTCTATGGCAGCTGCACCATTTTTCTATTCCTACCTGCAGTGTTTGGTCTTAAAGCAAAGGGTAATGGCTAGGTTTGCTTCTCTCCTCTTTTCATCTTTCATGACACTGCCCTGGCTCACGGTCAGGTTTTACCTGCCCAGTGTTTCCTTGTAAGCAAATTTCCACTGGGAGCCCCGTTAGCAACACGTTTGGAGGAAAGGACTGAAGGTGGTTAGGCTCTGGGAAATTTCTTACTATCTCAGTGTGCTCGCGGCTGTTACTTTTCACTTAATTATGTTTTAAAAAAAAAAAGGTCACTAGTGCTCAGATTCATTCACGCTAAGAATCTACAGTATCTTCAACTTCATAACCAGGGGGCTGGGCAGGCCTTGCTTGTTTTAGCATCAGCCCTCTAGCGTGCTTGTGCGTGTGGCAGAGACCTTATAGGACCTCTTTTGCAAATGAATGTGGTTGCTGGACATACCACAGACCCAAGTCACGGTGTAGCTTAGCAAAGCCAGCAAGTGGGGGTGGGATGGTCTGGCCAGCACAGTTGTTCGTGTGTAGATCCTTCCGTATTTGTAGGCAAACACTGCTCCCCAGAGCCCTTGTTGCCCCCGCCCCTCCCTCTTCTAGTTCCCGTCTCAGGACAGTGGCAAGCAGGGGGCCTCCGGTCCCGGCTCCTGTGTTAACTTTACCTGGCTTGGCATCAGCCATACACATGTCACGAACATTTAGACGTGATTCTGTGGGGAGGCCCAGAGCTCCCTCCTGATGAATGCGTCGTTTCTCCCCCTCATGGCCTCCGAAATGCTCGAGGGAGAACCCCAGAGGCCCGCATCCTGGGCTGAGCGGCCTGCCACCTTCACCCCCCCTCACTGACACACACCGGGGCCTGGTTAGTTAGGAACGTGCGGCAGTTCTGAGTCGGTTTGAAAACCGCAGCGGAAAAGGCCGACCCTTGGATTGGTCATTTACCAGCCGGGGGGGCGGGTCTTGGGCATGGCCGCCTGTTGGCTCATCTCTGAAACTAATAAAAACGCCTTCTCCGCAGAGCTGGTACAGAGATGCAGTGCGAGAATGGCGGTGAAGGTCCCTCAGTGATGGGAGGCCACCAGGCTGCTGCCGGACCCGTGAGGAGGACAAGAGAAACGGCCCTGCTGGACCTGAGGTCTCAGGAAGTGGCAAGGTGGGGACAGGTCCTCCTGACACTTCTGAGGACCCAGCGCCGTCAGGCTTCTGAGGACAGGCGCAGCCGGGGAGGCAGCGTGACCCGCCTGGGGACGTGGGAGAGGCACCCCGCCTCCTGTGTTCACCTGCCTGCAGCCCAGACACCCCTGGAGCCTTGGAAACGAGCCTGCCTTTAGTCATTGGTCGTCTAGTAACGGCCCCCGGAGGGCCAAGCACTTCCTGCCAACGGTGAGCAAATCCCAGGGTGAATACCAAGCTTGAGAATTTATTTTTTTGTTACTCCTCACCCACAGATATTTTTCCGTTCATTTTTAGAAAGAATGGAAGGGAGGGGAGAGACAGAGAAACATCGATGTCAAAAGAGACACACTGATGGGCTGCCTCCTGCACGGCCCCAACTGTGGGGCGAGCCCGCCAGATGGGCATGCGCCCTGACGGGGAATGGAACCGTGACCTCCCGGTTCATAGGTCGACGCTCAACCTCTGAGCCACGTCGGCCGGGCACAGCTTGTGTCCTTTAAACGTGTATTCCCATTTCCCACCTTGACCGTTTCCCTGGCAAAGATCACGCGGCCTGGGCTGTAGAGTCCTCGGGGCAGCCCGAGACCATGAACTTGTAAGGAGCGAACACGTGTGAACACCTCCAGCGAGCCACATCCTAGGCGTGCTGGCTGTGAGGTACCAACAATGACACGGAAATGTGGAAGTCAAGTCCTTTGCCCCAGGGTCCCCCAGATCAGGCTGCCCCCTTTGGCCTTTTGTCTGTGGAAAGTGTAGGGAAAATCTACAGATCAGTGGAAACAGAAGTACAGATGTCTGTATTTTAGGTATTCAGATTTTCTTGTAGCTGATTTAATGGAGTGAGAAGCAGAATGCTCCCGTCTTCACCAGCAGTTTGCATGCTGTGAGGGTTCAGCTGTCTGTCAGCAATAAAACAAAACCTTCACGCTGAACACCTCCGAGTGACACGTGTGAACACGCATGCTACACGCAGCTCAGCGCCCCTGCCTCAGAAGCGTGGTGAGTCTTGCACGGAGGCGCAAACAAAGTTGGAGGCCTGACGTGCATACTGAATTCCTTTATTGAACGTAAACCATGTAATACTTGAACTACTAGAAAAAAGCAGAGTAAGATAAACTAAAGTCGCATTAGCTTCAGCCATTCAAAATAGACAGTTTCTTTTTCCCCCCATAATGTAAAGAATCCAGAGTATATCGCGATAACAGGGATAAATTCTTACAATGGAGTATACAAAACCATTTTGAAAATTTTTTTTTTTAGCTACTGATTTTTTTGTATATAAACAGGAAGTTTTTAGGAATAATTTGTACACAGAAAGTCATTTTACGTAACAAATTGGCTGTGTCAATTACCGGTTTTTAAAAACATTTTAAAAAACTTTTTTTTTTTTAAACAAAACTCAGAAAATAAATGATCTGCAATACATCCATTTCATCGCGCCTTCTGGTTTGATTTTGTTTGTTTTTTTAAAATTTTTTCCCAGAGGACAAACTCTGGCAAACCCCTCATGTCAACCCCACTGGCTTACAAAGCACACAGGTGTTTTTGCCAAGCATCTATTCCACCTGTGGACGCGTCTACGCAACACCAAACATCCGAATGCCAAGTTGCAAACAGAAAATACTGTATCTGGACCTTTCTCCCATGTTGTGCAAAACACCCCGTTAGCAATGGTGGGGCTTTTGTGGCATTGTGTAGACGTGGCCCATAACCCACTGGGCGCAAGAGGAAATGGAGTCAGACTTTAAAAAAATTGTGTGTGTGTGTAGTTTTTATTCAACTTTGTTTTGTATTGGAAAAATGTATCTTCGGTGTTGTGCCTTAAAAAATAAGAGTCTCTGGTTATATAACAAAGCATCAATCATAATATGAGGCATGTAAGCGAACAGTCTGCCGGCACCAGAATTACCGTCTTGCGTGATAAGTCTGCGTGCGGCCAGCGCTGTGACGCCGCGGAGCTGTGCTGTCAACCGCTCCATCGCGAGGCGTCCCGCAACCATGGCAACAGCCGCACCAGATGCCGAGTGCCGGGCGCACCGCCGGGCACCGCTGGGCGGCAGCACCCCCGCTGGTTCCTTGGCCAGTGAGGTTCCTTCAGTCTCTTAAAGTAGCTACACTCCAAAGATAAATGACCAGCAAATGATGATCCCCTCCCCAACCAGAAGGTTCGGGAAGACCAAGATACTGAAGATACAGAACTACTGAAATCGCCATCCTTCCTTTGCTATAAACTAGGGCCTGAAGCGTGGGGTGGGGGTGGGGGGATGTAAAAAGGGTTATGCAGGGCTTGGGGGCAGGGAAAATGCATTTTTGGCATCTCGTAAAGCTAGCTAGTAAACAGGTGTCCTATAAAAAAAAAAAATAAATGGATCACGAGCATACATTTGCACGGAGAACCCAAGTGTCTTTAAATTATTTCGGCGATTACGGACTACAAACGTTGTATAAAATTATTCTATGTCCTTACAAAAATGCAATGAAACGTTGAATTAGTTCTTGTAAACCAGATCTTCGTCGACTGACTACCCGTATCTACTGGACATGAGCCCTACTGAAAATGCTGTGTGAGTAATTAAAACGATGCTGACCAGAAAAATGAGGACACACACCAACGTGGCCATACGGATGAGTAATCAAAAAACAACAACAACAACAAATAGATGAGTAATCAAAAAAAACCAACAAAAAATTATAGATGAGTAATCAAAAAACCAATAAAAAGTATAGATGAGTAATCAAAAAAACCAAAAAAATATAGATGAGTAATCAAAAAACAACAAAAAAGTATAGATGAGTAATCAAAAAACTCAAAAAAATATAGATGAGTAATCAAAAAAAAAACCAACAAAAAATATAGATGAGTAATCATATTCTTGCTTAAACGACAAAAAGAAAACCCTAAAGTCATGCCCCAGAGCCGACCACTGACGGGCGTGATGTGGAGTTCGTGTCCTCCGATTGGACTGATCACAGTCCCCCACGCAGCGCGCCGGGGTGTCTGCTGAGGACAAATGCCCATGGATGACTCCCGAGCCTGGCCCTGGTCTCACGCCTCCAAGAAACCGTCCATCTCAGAGCGCGCCCGCACTCCTTCCCGGCCCCGCGCCCTGGCGCTCGCCATTCTCTCCGCGACGGAGGCGTCCTCCCGCTGGCTGGGCTCTTCCCACCATCCAGGAGCGTCCATCCGCTTTTTCTCCGCAGGACCGGCTCTGTCATCCGAGCTGGGGGCCAGGCGTGACCCCCTCGGGCCTGTCCTCTGTATCTTCAGCATCGCCGGCTGTAACAGAGAGGTTCGGTCCAAAGCGGCATCCTTTCTCGGTCTCATTGGCAGCGACTGTGTCCCGACTGGAGCGAGGACGTGGGCCTTTCATCGCCGCTGCTTTCGAAGAGCGGGTCTCCAGTCCGGATCTCCCGGCGCTGCGGAGCCCGGGAGACGGAGCGGCGGCCACATGGACCGGAGGACGGGCCCCAGGCCGCGCGTGCGCCCCCGGGACGGGCCCAGGCAGGGCGCCCAGGGCTGCTGCCCCGGGGAGGGGCCTCTGACTTGGGAAGGAGCTGCCTTCCATCCTCTGGCCGCTCGGGGGCGGCGAGGACCTTGGACCGCGCATCCTCGCCTTCTGGCCCCTGGAGCTCGGGTGGCCTGGCCACGGGAGCGGCCTGCGCCACGCGCCCACCCGCCGACGGAGGTGGACTGCCGAGAAAGGCGTCGGTGGAACCCACTGGCCTGGGATTTGGCACCGGACTTGGCTCGTGAATGCGTGGCGCCGGCCAAAACACACCAACCAGTTCCTGCCAAGCGTCTTGCCAGTCGGCAGTTCCACCAGAAACTCTTCTTTTTCCCCAGCCGCTTCTCTGACCTTGGAAACCTCGTTCGCGCCACGAGAAACGGGCTGGAAGGGGAGGCCAGCATTGGCCGTGAACCCCATCTTCTCGCCTCCTCCTCCTCTAAGGAAGCTCATCTCAACTGTGTGTCCAACATCACGACACCCCGTAAAGGAGACCTGGGTGGCCGGGGCCTGGACAGCGTCTCCAGAACAGGCCGGCTTCGCTCCCGCTGCGCCCGGGGAGGCCGTGGTGCGCGCTTGGCGGTGGCGGACGCTCGCATTGGCTCCATGATGCGCCTCCGTGGTCCGAGCGGCTTCGAGCAGCGGGAGCTGCTGGCGGGAGGAGGCCGCGTGGGAAATGCCCCAGTTCGGCTCGAGTGAATTATTCGGAGCTTACGAAAGAGAAAAAAAAAAAAAATCAAGGGGAGGGGGGACCCCGGCCTCGCGGGCGGGTCCCGGGGTGGCTTGGTCCAGTAGGATGACCGCACCCTCACGCAAGCAAGCGTTTGTTTCTCTAACTGCAGCGCCGCGGAAGCATTGGTTACGATGCGCACTACGACTGGTTAGTGTTTGCTTTCTACTCAAAGAAAAACCACCGACGTCAAACGATAACATGACCACACCAACAGCTCGGACGCGTGGAACGAGAGAGACCCTTGGGACCGGCCTGGATGGACTGGACGCGTCCAGTCGTGGGAACCGGAAGGTATGTGCAAAAGAGGGGAGGCCACCAACCCGGGGGGTTCCCTGGCAGCGTGGGTGAGGGGAGCCCCCATCAGATAGCATTTCTCGGTGACCTCGAGGTCCCAAGGGCGTGGGGAGAGGGGAGGGGTGTCCCTGCGGGAGGGGAGAGCCGCCCCCAACTTTTCGGAACGCTTTCCCCGAGTCGTGTCGCCCAGATCACATCACCAGGGCCTGAGAGCAGCTGTTGGAACCGGGTAATGCCATCCACCCCCCGTGAGCAGCGGGACAGAGGCAAGGCCTGGTGGGAGGTGCGACACCCCGACACCCCAGAAGGAGGCTTGGCGCCTAGCACCGCCCCCCTCCAGCCCGAAGGCTTGGTACATCTTTGTTTCCCCCTGGGAGGGAGGAGGAAAGGAGGGGGGAATTCAGAGAACATTCTGGAGATGGGGGACGGGGACTTTTCTCCACAGAACATTCTGGAAGGGATTGGCTGGGAGGTAGGAACCTCCTATTCTCGACAGGAGGCCTGGTGGACGGGGCTCTCCGAGTGCCTGGCTCACAGGGACCATCTGGCCGCCTGGCACAGGCCCCGTCCAGGGCAGCCAGCGTGGCGCCCGATGGAGCCGGCCCCCACCCGTGCCTAGCAGGTGAGAGCTAACAGAGACGGCCGCCCTTGGCCGCCTCCTGGCCCCTAAATCCCGAAACCACTGCTCCAGGGATGGAATGGGCTCGCCATTCCGTCCGCACAAAGCAACTGGGTTCAAGGACAACCGGCTGGGACAGCCGAGGGGCCTTCCTTCCCACTGAGCTGTTGGGGGGTGTGGGGGGGGGCTTTTCCCCTCACCTCCCTGCTGAGTGGGGGACACTGGGCCAAGAGGGGGGAATCCTGACACCTCACAACCTTGTAGGGAACCGAGTCAGAAGAAGAAGAGAGCAAGGCCAGAGGAGACAGCGCAGGGAGAGGCAAGCCGTCGGACAGGAGCGGAGAGGCGGGAAGCGAGCTGCGGCCCCGGAATGCAGCCTGGCCTGGCCCCGGTCACGGGCGTGCGCGGCCTGTGCGCGGATGAGGTACCGGTACCCATGGCGTATTGTCAGGTGCTGAGAAATGTGAGATGTATTCCTTGTTGTATATACACATATAAAAAAGAAGTGTGAGGTAGATACATGTTTGAAAAAAAAAAAAAAAACCCCAAAAAATAAAAACTGTCCCTTCTTACGCACAGAAACCCTCGTGTCAGAATCGAAATCCATCAGGGGGCCAAGCTGCTCTCTCAGCGACTCAAACCGGAATCGGAAATTCAACGGAAACTCCTACATACACCTTCTCAATGAACCTTTCTCTTGGACGCAGTTTCTGAAGGGGAAAAAACGGTGGGGACGGGGGCTAGACACAATCCTGGGGCTGAAACGACTCCGAATTTTCCTTCTTGTGTTTCATCTCCAATCCCGACTAGCCATCACCCTACTTTAGAGCTTTGTTCTCACTCATCACTTAAACGTTTTCCATCCCAGAAGCAACTCTGTGCGGTCATATGTCAATCGCTCTGGTGAGAAGCGCTAAAAAAAACCCCAACAAAACAAAACAAAACAAAAAAAACCGAAACAAAAGACGCTGGGGCCCTGAGGACTTGTTTCCCGGCCCAGGGCAAGCGTGCCAGGGCCCTGGTCCCCTGGGGTGAGCATGGGGCTCCTGGGCCACTGGGGGCGCTGCCCCAGCCTGGCCCTCTCCCAGCAGCCCCTGGCGCCCCGTGCGGAGGGGGTTTCTGGGGGTTTCCTGGTTCTCAGGACAGACAGGTAGGTCGGTCTGGGGGTTGGTGGCGGCTCGCCACTGACCACCCCCCACTGCACCCTTAGATTTAGCAGCTGTTTTTCGTAGGATGGGAGGATTAAATATCCACTAAAAAAAAAGAAAAGAAATGTAATTCAAATGACTAGTATCTGCAGTTCAAACTGCTGTTGTACCCGAGAATTAAAACATAAAAATTACAAAAAGTGTGTGTCACATCCAAAAGGAAGGGGCCAGGGAAAGAGAAGGGGGGGGGGCCTCTTTCCCATGGCGACGACGAGGAACACTGAACAGGCGTGGGAAGTACTTGACCTTTGTGTTGGGACCTGAGGTTGTCTACGGCTGGCACAGTAACAGACTCCAATGCTGGGCGAGGGAGGGCGGGTGGGGGAAGGGACCCCGTTTCCACCGGCCTCCCTCGCCAGCCAGCCTCGTGCCCACAGAGCCTACAGGTTGTAACAGATCTAGCAGGGGGCCGGGGGGAGGAAGCAGAGAGCGGGGGTGCGGAGTTATGAAAAGGCATCACAGGCAGTTCATGGCAAACGCCGATCTACGAGAGCCCATTCCTGGGGAGAGAGGAAGAGACGCATCTAGTCAAAAGCAGAAGCTTAGAGAGAGACAGCAGAGAGGGAAGGAGGGAGACCTGAAAGTTTTCATAGAATAGATCCACAAAGATAACCGAAAACTACAAAATAAAAATAGCAGCCGTCTTCTTTTTTTTCTGTACAGACGTATAGATGAGGATCTGAACCGTAAAAAAGTTATCAAAGTGATGACGTGAAAGACGAATGTGTACGCAAATGTTTCGAGTCTGACCTAGAACCGCAGGACCCGCGGAGTCCTGGGAACGGAACATGTCAAAGGCTCGGGCAGCTTGCATCCCGCACTGCCCGCCCCGAGATGGGGGTGGGGGTGGGGGGAGGTGTCTGCATTGCTTTGCTCGAAAACCTGTGTGAACCGCTGGGCTCTGTCCCGGGGAACCCCTGCTCCTCTGCGTCCTCGAGGCCGGGAGGGGCCCTGGGGGGGGGGGGCAGGAAACTAGCACGTGAGTCACCTTTGCTCCCTGAAAGGGCCTGCCTGTGGCCGAGTCCCTGGGGCTAGGAGGTGGGGGTGGGGAGGTGGCCCAGGGAAGCCCGGACCCGTCCGTCCAGTTCCCCCAGAAAATAACCTTGTCAAAGGCAAACTGACCTGCATGGACGTGAGACTTGCCAAGAATCCCCGGGAGGACGGGATGGAGGGCACCGCCCGCGTGGCTGTCACAGGAGTGACCGGAGACGGCACACGCCCGCCACCAGGAAATGGGGGGGCGAGGGGGGCAGGTGCGAGGGACGGAGTCCCGGGTTTTGGCAGAATTTGGCAGCGTTACAAGGGCAACAGCTTTGGATGCACGATGGCCCTTGGTAAATGCCGTGTGTCCCTAAAAAGGCTGAAGGTACAGTTTTTAAAAAGGAAAATGCCATTGCAACGTGTTAGAGAAGGACCCACGGGGACAGGCAGGTGTGCATGGGAGCACGAGGGGGCTAAGGGGGCGGCTCCTCTCCATCGGCTCAGAAGGGCGTCCTGGTTGGGCTTGTGGCAAATGTTCTTTCCATTATGAAGCAGAGAGAGAGAGAGAGAGAGAGAGAGAGATCAGAGAGAGAGAGGCAGAGAAGGAGTGAGGAGACTCGATTCTCTAGTGTTCTGTTGCTTTAAGTGTCATTAAGGTTCGTAAAGGCCCGTGTCAGTTAAGGGTTTGGGCAGGGCAATAAGCTGCTTGCATATCGAAAAAAGGGAACATCCCATGTGTGTGTGTGTGTACGGGGGAGAGGCCTGCCTGTGGGCAGCAGGGCGGCGCTGCAGACCTCGGGGGCGCAGGCGGCCGTGGCCAGATGGTGGGGGCCCGCCCCCCGCCCGCCGAGCACACACGCACGCACACACACACGGGGCCCTGCTCGCGGGACCGGGTCCCACTTCAGCAGGTGGAGGACTGCGGGAGGGGCACGGGCCTCTCGTTCTTGCGCCCCCCATTCATGTGCGCGTACGCCTGCCTCTCGTCGAAGCTGGCCCGGTGGTAGACCAGCACGCGGTGGCCCAGGCCGTTCTCGGGGCGGTGCGGGCAGGGGCGCTCGCGCTCGCGGCCGTTCTCGTGGCGGTGGTGCGGGCAGTGGCGCTCGCGGCCCTCGTGGTGGTGGCGGCAGTAGCGCTCGCGGCCCTCGTGGTGGTGGCGGCAGTAGCGCTCGCGGCCCTCGTGGTGGTGGTGGTGGTGCGGGCAGTGGCGCTCCGGCAGCGGCAGGGAGGAGCAGGAGGCCGACGGGTCCAGGGGCACGCACTCCAGCTGGTCGGGGTCCAGGTCCAGCTCCTCGGTGTCGGGCGGCTTGTTCTCGTCGCTGTAGTAGAAGGACACCTCGATGAAGCCGGGCTCCAGCTCGTCCTTGATGCTGCCGATGATGTCCAGGAACGAAGGCCTCATCTTGGGGTTGAAGTGCCAGCACACCTGCATGAGCTCGAACCTGCGGGGAGACGGACGGCGGAGATGGGCACCACCGGCCGGGCTGCGCCTGGCCCAGCAGCTCCGGGGCCAACGCTCGCTCTGCCCCCCTCCGTGGGCACAACGGGCACGCCGGTCCCGGTTCGGCACCCTCTCCTGGTCTCTGGCTTTCCCTCTTTTAAAAAAAATATATTTCTATTGATTTCAGAGAGGAAGGGAGAGGGAGAGAGAGAAACATCAATGATGAAAGAGAATCATGGATCGGCTGCCTCCTACACACCCTCTACTGGGGATGGAGCCGGCAACCGGGGCATGTGCCCTGACCGGGAGTCGAACCGTGACCTCCTGGTTCACAGGTCAACTGTCACCCACTGAGCCACACCAGCCAGGCACGTGGTCCGCTGTTGACTCCTGTCTGCAAGGCTACACGTGCAGATGTTGAGAGGAAGCTTTTAAAAATACATGTTTAGCCCGGCCAGTGGGGCTCAATGGTTGAGCATCGACCTATGAACCAGGAGGTCCCGGTTCCATTCCCGGTCAGGGCACATGCCCGGGTTGCAGGCTCCATCCCCAGTGTGGGGCGTGCAAGGAGGCAGCCGATCCATGATTCTCTCTCATCATGGATGTTTCTCTCTCTCTCCCCCGCTCCCTTCCTTTCTGAAATCAATAAAATATGTTTTTTTAAAAAGGCCAACTGGAGCTCCTCATATCTAGGGAGATCAAAGCACCCCGAAATGGCTTCCCGCCATCTGTTGGGGTGACCATTTGACCAACAGACCACCCTGTGGCCCCAGGGAGAGAAGCGGTGGGGCACAGACCGCAGCCTGCAAAGCCGGCTGCCTTGAAAGGCATGGGGAGAAAGGGGTCAGGGAGGTCAGACGGACGTGACCCCGAGGGAGGGGGTATATGGGAGCCAGGCCTGCCGCCTGCTCTGCCGCCTGCTCTAATAAATCAAGTTTAGTGGCAACAGGAACAGGCTCGTTTGTTTACAGCGTCTGCGGCTGCTCTCGAGCTCCTATGGGGAGTGGAGGAGTCAGAACAGAGGCCGTCTGGCCTGTGGGCCCGAAACATGGGCCATTGTGGCAAGCTGGTGAGCCCTGGGTGCCACACTGACCAGGGCCAGGGATCGAGCCTGCAACCAAGGTACGTGCCCTTGACCGGAATCAAACCTGGGACCCTTCCGTCCGCCGACCGACGCTCTATCCACTGAGTGACAGTGGCCAGGGCCTGATGCCTCCCTCGGACCATCCCAGCGTCCCAGCCCGCCCAGCACAGCGCTGGCCCTAAAAGGAAGTCTGTCGGATGCTGCGGGATTCCAGACCTGTTCACACCCTCTCCACAAGCAAAGTCTGCAGCGGATCTAGGAGGATTTATGAGCCGATGGAACTCGTCTTTAGAAAAAGCACATTTTCTACAGCCGGTCAGCTCTGGTGCGTCGGAGAGTCCTTCACTGAACTCCCCGCTGGTGGGGGCGGGGGAGGGCGTGCACAGCCCTGTACCCGGGTAGGGACAAGACTACATGGAGCTGCTGTCCCGAGATAAGCTGCCTCGTTCAGACACAGGGGCCCAGGGGCTGGGGGAGCACAGCCCTGCCCGCTCGGGCCTGCACACCGCGTGCCTCTGTTTCCCCACCCTACTGCGTGCGTGAGGTGGTGATCACAGCCAAGGCATGCCGTGCAGCCCTGGCTGGTGTGGCTCAGTGGATAGAGTGTCGGCCTGCGGAACGAAGGGTCCCGGGTTCGATTCCCGGTCAGGGCACATGCCTGGGTTGTAGGCTTGATCCCCAGTAGGGGGCGTGCAGGAGGCAGCCGATCCATGATTCTCTCTCATCACTGATGTTTCTCTCTCTTTCTCCCTTCCTCTCTGAAATCAATAAAAATATATTTTTTAAAAACCCAGAAACCGATGTCGTGTTGCATTATTAAAAAACAACAACCAACTCCACGCAGAAGGTGAGCATGGGTGGCATCTATGTAACATTTCACAGAGACGTCAGCCTGAGCAGCCGCAGTGCGCCCTGCCAAGGCGGGGTGGGAGGGAGGCGCCGCAGAGGCGCAGGTCCCCCCCCCCCAGGATGGGCCTTGTCCCCCTCCCCCCCGCCCCCCACAGTGGCGCGGGGCCTGGGAACTACATACAGCATATCGGGGCAGTTGTCGGGCTTGTCCAGAAGGCCGCCCTCCATGACGAAGCGCAGGACCTGCTCGTTGGACAGGCCCTGGTAGGGCTGCTCGGCCAGCGTGGCGATCTCCCAGAGCACGACGCCAAAGGACCTGCAGAGAGGAGAGGGGCAGACGTGAGGCCTTGACGGTGCACAGAACCACGTGCCCGCCCCTTCCCAACACTCTTCCACCCCCCCCTACCCCCCTAACCCCCACCCCCACTCTGGGGACGGCCCGCTGGGCGGCCAGCGAGCCAGGCTATGCACCACGCGTGCAACATCGGTCCTCGTTTGCTGCCACCACGGCTCCTGCAGATCAGTGCAGCCCTGGTCACTGAGTCAGTGCAGAGCACAGGACACTGAAGGGCAGGGGGGTTCAGGGGCCCTTGAACTTGGACCCCAGGCAAGTGAATTGAGGACAATCAAGCCGCTTGACAACTCCCAGTTGGGGACCCTCCGCCCCTGGCTCTCTCTGCTGAGCCAAAGAGGAGGGGGGGTGTGTGGGTTGGGGGTGGGAGGGTTTGTGGAGGCCGGTGGGGCGCGCATTCGGGGGACCGTCTCGCCTACCAGACATCAGAGTGGGTGGTGAACACGCCGTCCTTGAGGGACTCGGGGGACATCCAGCGCACAGGCAGCAGCCCCTTCCCGCCCTTCCGGTAATAGTCGGTCTCGTAGATGTCGCGAGTCATGCCGAAGTCTGCGGGGCGGGGAGGAGGCAGGAGGGTGACTCTCCGGGGACAGGCACGGACGGGACATCCCTGCTGCGAGGCGGCCCCGCCTCCGATCCCATCGGCAGAGCCCGCAAGGCACGAGCGATGAGCCACGGGCCCAGCAAACACCAGGAAAGCTCTGCTGCTAAATACACGTTCACCTTGATTCTTCAGAAAGGTCAATCCCTTATTGCACTTTAATGAGAGGCAGCGCCCGGCCGGCGTGGCTCAGTGGCTGAGCATCAACCTACGGACCAGGAGGCCACGGATTTGATACACAATCAGGGCACAGGCCCGGGTTGCAGGCTCCATCCCCAGTGGGGGGCGTGCAGGAGGCAGCCCATCCGCGATTCTCTCCCATTGTGGATGTTTCTCTCTCTCCTTCTCTGAAATCAATAAAAATATATTTTTTAAAAAGAAAATATGTCCTGCCGAAACCGGTTTGGCTCAGTGGATGGAGCGTCGGCCTGCGGACTGAAGGGTCCGGGGTTCGATTCCGGTCAAAGGCATGTACCTGGGTTGCGGGCACATCCCCAGTAGGAGATGTGCAGGAGGCAGCTGATCGATGTTGATCTCTCATCGATGTTTCTAACTCTCTATCCCTCTCCCTTCCTCTCTGTAAAAAATCAATAAAATATATTTAAAAAAAAGAAAGAAAATATGTCCTGTGTAGACTCAAGGCCATTCTCACGTGTGTGTGTGTGTGTGTGTGTGTGTGTGTGTGTAACATGTTTTTATTGATTTTCAGAGAGGAAGGAACAGAGAGAGAGATGGAAACATCGATGAGAGAGGAACATGACTGATCAGCTGCCTCCTGCACGCCCCCTACTGGGGATCCAGCCTGCAACCTCAGCATAGGCCCTGACTGGGAATGGAACCAACGACCTCTTGGTTCCTGGATCGGTGCTCAACCGCTGAGCCACACCAGCCGGGCTCAGGTGGTTTTGAACTCGATGGGAAGCAGGAGCACGGCGTTGCCCCACTGCCACAGGAAGGAACGCGGATTCAGCGTCTCATCGGGGAAATACCGAGTGCCGATTCACGATGAAAAGAAGCACCCGGCAAGAATCCCAAGAGGTGCTACAGACCGGGCCCCTGACGCGATTGCTCACTAATGTTTCTCAACATGATACGCCCCCTCGTTTTCGAAAATTTCTCCCATCTTCCCTGCCTCTAGAAGATGTCACGTAATTACGTTTGATGGCAGGCTGGCTTCATAACCCTACGTGACTGCTTCTTTGTCAGAGTGATTTCCCACTCGGTGGTGCAGCCCTCCTTACAGGGACTCTCTCTCCCCGGCTCCTCCCAGGAGAAGGGGCCGCTCTCCCTTGGCAAACATTCATTCGGCCCGGCCAGTGTGGCTCAGTGGTTAAGTGTCCACCTCTGAACCAGGAGGTCAGGGTTCGATTCCCGGTCACGAGTTTCTGTAGCTTGTCTCTGTGCTTAATCTTTTGTTTAAAAAAATAATTAAAAAAAAATGAAAATTGGAGGGAAACTATTGGTACTTTGTATATGTTTATTGATTTCGGAGAGGAAGGGAGAGGGGCCGTGCCCAAAACCCAGGCATGTGCCCTGGCCTGGGAATCGAACCGTGACCTCGTGGTTCAGAGGTCAACGCCCAACCACTGAGCCACACCGGCCAGGCAAAGTTGGCACTTTGGATGGCAACTATTTTTCCTAAGTCAGCGTCGCCTGAGAACGCTGTCTCGATTATTTCCATAACTGATGCTTAGAACTGTCCTGCCAAGAAAGGCCCCAAATCCCAGGAGAGGCAACCTGAGGGGCCTCAGCCCAGCCCAGCCCATGCCCTGGACCACGTGCCTACTGCGCCGTCAGGATCAAAGCCAGCCCGGCCAGGCCTGTGATTGGCTGTCACCTGGAGACGAAGACGTTACTCCCAAGAGCAAGCCTCTGCGCCCAGGAGATGCACGGGAAAACCTCCCCACGGGGAGGCCCACCCCGACGCGCCCCCTAAAACACGCGCGTCGAGGCCCTGCCCAGATCTTGGCAGCTAAGAACTCACCTCCGATCTTGACAGTCAAATCTTCAGCCACCATGCAGTTCCGGGCAGCCAGGTCCCTGTGCACGAACTTGTTGGCGTTGAGGTACGCCATGCCGTCCGCAATCTCCCCGGCCATCTGGATCATCTTGCTGAGGGTCGGCGGCGAGAGGACGGGGTGATTCTGTTGGAGACGCAAAAAAACAATTCACGTGAGAATCTAGGCGTTTCTCGAGGTTTGTAAACCCATCTTCGCTCAGCCTGAGCCTTATTCCGCTCAGGAATCGGGCCTTGTTCAGAAGGAACGTGTTCGCCCGGCCGGTGCGGCTCAGGGGTTGAGCATTGACCTATGAACCAGGAGGTCACGGTTCGATTCCTGGTCAGGGCACATGCCTGGGGTTGTGGGCTCCATCCCCAGTAGGGGGTGTGCAGGAGGCAGCCGATCCATGATTCTCCCTGATCATTGATGTTTCTATCTTTCCCTCTCCTTCCCCCTTCTTTTCTGAAATCAATAAAATATATATATATATATATATATATATATATATATATATTTTTTTTTTTTTTTAAAAAGGAGAAGGACTGTGTTATTGCGGAGACCACAGCATCTGCTTCGCAATCAAGTCGTGCGCTGCCGGCCGGCCCACCGCATCACACAGGGCTGCAGAGAGAAACACCCACAGGCACAACTGGGGACCGGCCTTTGCTCTTTCGAGTCGGACAGAACAGGGGCGCTGGGGCCCCTTGTTGGGTGGAGCGGGGGGTGGGCGCCAGTGGCCTCCGCCCACACTCGTGGCCCTCCCAGAACCACCAAGCGCATTCGGCCCAGCCGAAGGGATGCACAGAACTTCATTTCAGTTCTGAGCGTCTGTGCCCGTGTGGCTTCCTCTGTCTGCTGTGACTGAAGAAGCCACATGGGCACAGATACTCAGAACTGAAATGAAGAAACTGCTCCCTGGAAGATGATGAAATTGCGCATTCAAAGAAAACAAAAGATTAAGCACCGAGAGGGGGGGAGACAGAGACTCCGACAGGGAGGGGTGGGGGGAGGGGGGGTACGGGGAGTGTTGCTACTAAGTATTCATCTATCGGTCTATTCTCAGAATCACTCACTTAAAAGTCACGCCTCCATGTGTTAATAAGTGGGCTCGTGGGTTCGCACAACAGGGGGGGCGGGGCACCAGGGTGACGAATGAAAACGGCACAGACAGCCGAAACCGGTTTGGCTCAGTGGATAGAGCGTCGGCCTGCGGACTGAAAGGTCCCAGGTTCGATTCCGGTCAAGGGCACGTATCTGCGTTGTGGGCACATCCCCAGTAGGAGATGTGCAGGAGGCAGCTGATCAATGTTTCTCATCGATGTTTCTAACTCTCTATCTCTCTCCCTTCCTCTCTGTAAAAAATCAATAAAATATATTTTAAAAAAGAGAAAGAAAATGGCACAGACTTCAGCCCGTTTAGAATTTGAAGCTCACGCCTGGCTGGTGTGGCTCAGTGGTTGAGCATCGACCCAGGAACAATGAGGTCACCGGTTCGAGCCCCGATCAGGGCACAAGCTCTGGTTGCGGGCTCTCCAGTAGGGGGCGTGCAGGAGGGCAGCCAATCGGGAGGCAGCCTGTCGTAAATGTTTCCCTCCACGTCCCCCCGCCCCGTGGCTCAGGGTTCAGGGTCTGGAAGAGGAGCCGCACACAAATGAAAGAGGAAAGGGACAAGAGGAAAGACTTTCTCCGGAGCTGGACTTACCTGCCTGTTCCCCCAATATTTCCAAATTATCTCGTGTCTTTTCTCTTTGATTTGTGTGCGGCTCCTCTTCCAGATCCTGAACCCTGAGCCACGCGGGACGTGGAGGGAAACATTTACGACCTCTGGCGACCGACGGGAACTCTGGAAGTGAAGGTTTCGCAAGAGCGATCACCGGCAAAGTGAGGAACAAAGAACTCACCCTGAAGGTAGGCACCGTAAACGTGGGGGACTACCTCACCCCACACAAAAGCCCACAATCAGCCACAGAAGCCCGGATCTGTAGGCGGGGTGGGGACTGTTTTCTTAACCAGGCTAAAGGGGTAGGATTCGGCTTTTAAAAAGTAAGGAACTTTATTATAGACTTTCAATTTGCATGCTTAAGGAGTTAAAGTTTTAGAAGGTAATCCCTTTCTTTTTTTTTTTTAAATTTTTTTTATTGATTTTTTTTTTTACAGAGAGGAAGGGAGAGGGATAGAGAGTTAGAAACATCGATGAGAGAGAAACATCAACCAGCTGCCTCCTGCACGCCTCCCCACTGGGGATGTGCCCGCAACCAAGGTACATGCCCCCGACCGGAATCGAACCCGGGACCCTTCAGTCCGCAGGCCGACGCTCTATCCACCGAGCCAAACCAGTCCTGGCTAGAAGGTAATCTCTTATAGTCTTTGCATGTTATTATAGAACATAACCCTTGTTTTCTTGAAAAAGGTACATGAGATCTTGAATGTTTGCCAAAATGTTAGCCAGAACTTGAAAAAAAAAAAAAAAAAGTCAGCAGCAGGGAAAAAACTTGCCTCCAAATGGTTACCCCTTGTGGGAAACGGTATTTCATTTGCTAGAGCCTTTAGGAGAGGCCGGGGAGGATAAATCTCCTCCCCGTGCACCCTCCGCTCCTATAGAGGAGCAGAAAGAAAAAAAAAATTGGAAGAAATGGCCTTCATGGCCCCCTCCATGTCCTAACCCTGAAATGTTTTGTTCTCCGTGAATAGAATCACCTGTGCAAAAAACCCAAATTATAAAGAAATTGGAATATTAAAAGGTACTCTTTTAAATCAGGCTGGGAAAAAAAAAAAAAAGAGTGCCATGGTCACCTCGATGTGGTTTCCTGTCTAAATTAAAATCTTAATTTGTATTTGGAATCTAAAATCTGCAATAAGAAATGAAACCCCGCTGCCAAATCCGCCTCTGGTGCAGAGAGATTCAAAGGTGGCAGGAGAGGGCAGAGCTGTAAGCTCTCCCGCAATGAGATTACTTAATGTTTTGTTTAAAAATTACCGGAGAACATCTTATGATAACCAAATTTTGGCTAAGATAACCTTGGGCGCTAGCCATTGCTTCGGAAAGCGAAATAGGAAAAAACTTAACATGTCTTTTTCTATTAAGCGTGATTTTGGGAAACATTTACCAACAGTGGCCAATTGATGATGTTTCTCTCTCTCTCCCTTCCCCTCTCTCTAAAAAAAAAAATCAAAAAATATATTTTTTTATAAAAAGGATTTGAAGCTCAACACAGAGATTGATGATTTCTTTTTGGATGGCGCTAAAATCGTGCAAGGTTATCTCTAAAGATCAATGGGGAAAAATATGCATGGGTGAGGTTAGTTCAACAACAACAGAACATATATATTAAAAACAAACAAACAAAACCCAAACTCACCTCGATTTCCGGTCTCAGAGACCTGAGGTAACTCTTGAGGTCTCCGCGGGGCATGAGTTCCATGATGACCAGGGTCGGCTGGCCCTGGGACACCACGCCCAGCAAACGCACCTGGGGGGGAGGGAGAGAGACAGAGAGGAGGACTGAGAGGAGCACCCACGTGGGGTGGGTGCACCCCCACCGCCCAGATGCACGGGCCAACCCCCCGCGTGTCAGGGGTGGGGAACCTTTTTCCTGTCAAGGGCCATCTGGATATTCACATCATTCACGGCCACAGCCTGTCACACCCAGAGTCTCCGTGTGCACAGGTGTCTGGGGGCAGCAGTGAGGTGGTGGGGGGGGGGGGAGGAGGGGGACTCTGGACACCGGAGGGGGGTGAGTCGCCAAACCCACAGGCGTGGCCTCTCCCGCCATGGTCCTCCCCGTGCCGGGATCCGCCTGCTCTTACCACGTGGTGACAGTTGAACTCCTTCATCACCGAGGCCTCGTTGAGGAACTCGATCCGCTCCCGCATGCTGGCCGACTCGTTGACGGTCTTGATGGCCACCCTGGTTTCCGGCTCGTCCTTGACCACGCCCTTGGCCACGCCCTCGTACACCATGCCGAAGGAGCCCTGGCCCAGCTCCCGGTTCATGGTGATCTTCTCCCGGGCCACCTCCCACTCGTCGGGCACGTACACTGCGGAGGAAGAAAAGGGAGCTGAAGGGGGGGTAGCCACGGGCGCCTGGGCAGCACGTGATTTGGGGGGGAACCTCTGGGGAGAAGAATGCACCATGCCGCTTCCCCAAGCCAGCCTAGGAGGACATGGGGGGCAGCGACTGGGCTTGTCCCGCCATGTCCCACGTGCTGTGCATTCCAGGAGGCAACCGTGCCCTCAAATTCTGGCATTTCAAATCCTCAAGGAGCCCCAGAAAATTCGAGGGTACTAACAGCACATAAGAAGAACGACCGGTGCGGAATGGAGGTGGTTGGGGGGTGTCAATGGGAAAAAAAAAACACCCAAAAAACCAAGGGGGACATGGGTCATACTTTCCACAATAAAGATACGTTTAAAAAAAATAATGAGAAATAAGACGCAGAAAGCAGTCCACCTGGAGATATGCTGTAAGTCTAAGATCTACCCTGGGTTTCAAAGACAAAGGACAAGAAAGAACGTGAAGATTTCATGGGCTGACGCGCAACCACTGAGCCACACCGGCTGGGCAGTGCGGGATTTTTGAGATACTCAGCGAACTGCTAAGAACTTTGATTTTTTTTTATATATATATATAAAGAAGTGTTACCGAAGACGGAGTACCTCCAAATCATGCAGACCTCTTCCTCCCCGAGGTGAGCCACCCTCCCGAAAGCAGCCGGACCGGCGCCCCCACGCAGGGAGCTGAGCTTACCGTCGGCCGCGCTGAAATACTCCGGGTTCACAGACGCGTACAGCACTCCATTCCCCATCCGATTACTGCGCCAGCCAAAGGGGGACACGTTAGGCAAAGAAAAAACCCCATCCATCCCCACGCGTTTCTGTAGAGACTCGCATCTCTTTTGTCGCCGTTTTATTCATTCTGTTTCATCCAGCTCCCGGAGAAAGAGTGAGTGGACCTTGGAGCCCTCAGACGAGAGCCTTTTTTATTTATTTTTTTTGTTAATCCTCACGTGAGGATATTTTCCCATTGATTTTTTTTTTTTTCTTGAGGGAGTGGAAGGGAGGGGGAGAGACTGAGAGAGAGAAACATCGATGTGAGAGAGACACATGGATTGGTTGCCTCCTGGGGTGGGGATCAAGACTGCAACTCAGGCATGTGCCCTTGACAGGAATCGAACCCGGGATCCTTCAGTCCCTGAGCTGATGCTCTATCCACTGAGCCAAACCGGCTAGGGCAGATTAGAGCCTTTACTTATTAATTTTTAAGGTATATTTTTATTAATTTCAAAGAGGAAGGGAGAGGGAGAGAGAGATAGAAACATCAATATGAAAGAGAATCATGGATCGGCTGCCTCCTGCACGCCCCACACTGGGGATCGAGCCCACAACGCGGGCATGTGCCCTGACCCGGACTCAAACCGTGACCTCCTGGTTCATAGGTCGATGCTCAACCACTGAGCCATGCCAGCCAGGCCAGACTACAGTTTTGAAAGAACGTTCATCTCTGAACTTCATTGGAAATGAACACAAAGGGTCACTGGGTCGACAGGGCTAACGGGTCAGGCTTGGGGGAGCTTAGCAGGGCAGCGGCGTCTGTGTGATTGAGTGGCCAGTGAGGGGACGACGTCGCCATCAGAAAAATGGTGTCGCTGTTGAATCATCAGCAAACATTCTCACCCTGGCCGGTTTGGCTCAGTGGACAGAGCGTCGGCCCACGAAACAAGGGCTCTGAGTTCAATTCCCGGTCGAAGGCACGTACCTGGGTTGCAAACCTGATCCTGGCCCGGGTCGGGGCATGTGCAGGAGGCAACCCATTAATGTGTCTCTCTCACATCAATGTTCCTCTCTCTCTCCCCACCCCCCCATCCACCCTCCCTAAGAATCGATGGAAAAATATCCTCGAGTGAAGATTCACCAAAAACAAACAAACAAATAAAACGTTCTCTGTTCCCAGGAAGCACATCGGATTGGAAAACCAGCTTTTCCGAGCCCCAAACTGTTGCCTCAAAAAGTTGACCTTAACCCGCACCCCGTCGCCCCCGAGCGCCCGACACCCACCTGGGCGTCTGCCCCCCGCGCCACTCACCGCTTCCTGTGGATGACGTACAGCGTGAGGGCCAGCCCCAAGACGGTCAGCACGATGGCGATGGGCAGCGCGATGACCAGGTGGGCGTGGCTGTCAAACGCTGCTGCGGGAGTGCAAGGGGCAAGGGGCAAAGGTCACGAGGTGAACAGGCTACTCGTTTCATTTCATTCATTCATTCATTCACTCACTCATTCATTTTTTTTTGTTAATCCTCATCCGAGGATATTTTTCCATTGATCTTTAGAGAGAGAGGGAAAGGCAGAGAGAAACATCAATGATGAGAGAGAATCAAGGCTCGGCTGCCTCCCGCACGCCCCCCTTCCGGGGATGGAGCCCGCAGCCTGGGCGTGTGCCCTGACCAGGAATGGAACCGAGACCTCCTGGGTTAAAGGTCAATGCTCAACCCCCGAGCCACGCCTGCTGGGGCCCGTTTTTCTTTTTAAAGTTCAGGGTACCCTGCCATCATAGTTCCCCCGATGGGCTCCAGCAAAACAGCCTCTGTCTGCAGCTTAACGACTGTAACGGGAAATGCATGCATTTGCTGAAATAAAATGCAGAGATTCTTACTTATCCAGTGCTCGAGCCGTGTACTGGCCTTCTTATCTGTCTTAACACAGTGCCACAGACAATTAAAACACACGCACACACATAGCCCGGCCGGTGTGGCTCAGTGGTTGACTGTCGACCTATGAACCAGGAGGTCCCAGTTCGATTCCCAGTCGGGGCACAGGCCTGGGTTGCAGGCTCGATCCCCAGTGTGGGGGCGTGCAGGAGGCAGCCAATCAATGATTCTCTCTTATCATTGATGTTTCTAGCTCCCTTTCCCTTCCTCTCTGAAATCAGTAAAAATATAAAACACACACACACACACACACACACACAATAGCTGCATGGCACCCCTTGCCCAAGTAGCTCTGAATTCTCCCCCGACATCACAGTCCAGTTAGGAGTCCGAGAGCCCTGAGCTCCCTGCAGCCCCGGCGCGTCCCTGTCACCGGCACTCCCAGGACGGAGAAGCGAACGGCCAGGACGACCCCGGCTTCCCCAGTCCCGAACCCCGTTTCTCCCGCCTCCCAGCGGCTCCCTCCCCCGGCCTCACCTTTGTCCTGGACGTAGAAGAACACGGGCTCCGTCCAGGACCCGTTCCCCGACAGAGAGGTGGCCTGGATGCGGGCCGTGTAGTTCCCCGGGCTGAGCTTCTGCAGCTTGGCCCCTCCGTGCTTCCGGTAGTCCTGCCGCGACACGCACTCCCGCTGGTCCTGGGGGGAGGGAGACAGATACACGTCACCTCCCACAGACAGGCGAGAAACGGGCGGCTCTCGCGGCCCAGCCTCTCCCTCCCACCTGTCTGTGATCCTGATTTGCAATCGCAGGGAAGCAAGCAAGCCTTCAAAGGCACCCAAGTTTTTTTTTTTTTTTTTTTTTTTTTAATATATTTCTATTGATTTCAGAGAGGAAGGGAGAGGGGAAGAGAGAGAGAAACAATGATGAGAGAGAATCATGGATCAGCTGCCTCCTGCACGCCCCCTACTGGGGATCGAGCCCACAACCCAGGCATGTGCCCTGATCGGGAATTGAACCCTGGCCTCCTGGTTCACAGGTCGACGCTCTGAGCCATGCCGGCCGGGCTCAGCCTTTATTTTATTATTTAAAGTCAAGCTAAGCAGGAGGGGCTGTGCCGTACTGGGACCCCTGGTCTCCTGGGAAGGAGACACACGCGGACACGGTCCCCGGCCCGGTCTTACCTCGACCTGCGATCCGTATTTTATCTCATACATGAGAATCAGTCCGTTGGGATTCTCCGGTTCGGGCCACTTTAAGAAGATGGTGTTGTCAGGCTTCACCTCCCAGGTTATCGGCCCGGGAATGTCATCCGCTCCGTCTGTGTAACCATTAAACACAAGCGATGAAGTCGGATTCCGTCCCCCGGGAGGGATGCCAACGCCGGGCTCATCCACGCCCGCCCTCCTCCAACCCAAGACGGAGGGCGGCGACCACACACTCCCCGTGAGCTGGAGGCCTGCACCCAGCCCCGGTCTGGGAGGCGGAGGCACGTGATGCCCCGCGAGTCTCGTGACGCCAGCCTCGGCCAGCCCCTGCCACCTCCGGGACAGGGAACCGGGCACCGCACCCATCCTTTTAATTTTTTTTAAAAGTCTTTTATTTCTATTGATTTCAGAGAGGAAGAGAGAGAGAGAGAAACATCCATGAGAGAAAGACTCATGGATCGGCTGCCTCCCGCACGCCCCCTACTGGGGATCGAACCCGGGACCCTTCAGTCTGCAGGCTGACACTCTGTCCACTGAGTCAAACCGGCTAGGGCTGCATCCATCCTTAAAGATGGGTGGGCACCGGTCTGAGCGACAGGCAGCTTCTGACCAGAAGGGGATGGGGAAGACCCAACAAGGAGGACCAAGGGCGGCTCCAGGAGATGACCCTGGGGAGTGACGGTCACTCGGAGTCAAGGCAGCGACCTGGGGACTTTGCTGAAGCCGTGCGGACTCGGGAGGGACCTGGCACAGATGGGAAAGGCTATGGAGATGCGCGCCCTGAACCCCGCCGGGGGAGCAGCGGTGACCTTGAAGCGACCTCCGTGCTCTTCTGTACTCTGTGCGGGGGTTCTGGGGATGGGAGTGATGTCGCCAGGAGGGGTCTGCCAGGCTGCCCCCACAGGAGCACTCACTCTTTTTATTTATTTCCTTATTTTTATAAATATGTTTTTATTTATTTTAGAAAGGAAGGGAGAGAGAAACGGAAACATCAACGACAAGAGAGAATCACTGATCGGCTGGCACGCCCCCTACTGGGGCTCAAGCCCGCAATCGGGGCACCAGCCCTGACCGGGAATCGAACCCTGACCTTCTGGTTCCTCGGTCGACGCTCAACCACCGAGCCACGCCGGCCCGGCAGCCCCCATTCTGTAACAAGCAGGGAGTCTCGGGGAGGGTGCAGCTGGATCGCGCCGTACCTGCAGGCATGGTTCTCGCAAAGACGAAGTTGGAGGCGCTGCAGCCCAGCTTCTCGGCCTCGTGGTTGCAGCTGTGGATGTCGATGCGGTAGAGGGTGAAGGGCTTCAGGTTGGAGATGACGGTCCTTTCCTTCTTGTCCACCCTGCTCTCGAAGAAAGGGTAGTCCGTCTCCCTGTCGTCCGAGTCCGTGCTGTTGAAGGGGTCCGTCACCGTGCTGTTCCTGCTCCGGCCGGAAAGGGTGGTGTTGGAGATCTGCCCCACGTCCCTGCGCTTCCTGTCGGGCCTGCAGAGGAGACACACACACACACCAGGCTCGCAGGGGCCTCACCAGGCTCGCAGGGGCCTCCACCGCTTCTGTCTTGTCTCCGCCTCGCATTGGAGTCACGGAGAGAAAAGCAAACTCGTCACCCGGGAATGAAAGGAGCGATGCAGCCCTCCTGGCTAAGAGCCAACCAATAGTACAGGGATTTCCTTCCTATTTTTTCATTTTTATTTTTTTAAATATATAGTTGTATTGATCTCAGAGAGGATGGCAGAGGGAGAGAGAGAGAGAGAGAGAGAGAGAGAGAGAGAGAGAGAGAGAGAGAGAGATACATCCATAATGAGAGAGAATCATGGACCGGCTGCCTCCTGCACGCCCCCTACTGGGGATTGAGCCTGCGACCCGGGCATGTGCCCTGACCGGGAATGGAACCGTGACCTCCTGGTTCAGAGGTCAACGTGCAACCACTGAGCCACGCCGGCTGCCGGGAGCTTGTCCCTCCTTGATGGTGACTTGGTGCCACCCCAAAGTCATGGATCCACCCACTACTAGGGGGGGAGGGGAGGCGACAGGCCCGCCCGGGGAGCCCGCCAGCAGCCGGGACAGACTCTCGGCCGGGAGGGCACCTGGGCACGAAGATGGAGTTGTGCAGGAAGTTCTCGAAGACTTTGCGGTACTCGGCCTCCTCCTTCTCCGCCTGCTTCTCGGCCTCGGTTTTGGGACACGCGCAGCAGGGCCCCTTGGGGGTGTTGCACGACTCGGTCTTGGGGTTCTCCGTCACCTCCTCGATGTCGAAGGTGCCGTCCGTGTACTTGCGGACGGGGAGCTTGTCTGCTCGGGGGAGAGAGGCGCCGGAGGGCCAGGTCACCCCGCTGGGAGGTCATGGCCCCCGACCTGGCCTGCGTCCCCTGGGGGCTGGGACACAGGCCCCGTGGCGCCCCCCGCCCCCGCCCGCCGCAGCCGCGTGCCTTTGGAGCAGTAGTTGTGCTGGTACAGGTAGGCGTCCTGCGGCTGCTGCTGCCAACGCACAATGTAGTAGCTGAGGTTGCCGTTGGGCAGGGAGGGCGGGTTCCACTTGACGATCAGCTGGGAGGACGAGTTGGAGGCCGAGATGACGTCCAGGGGGATGGAAGGCACTGGAAGGAGAACAGAGGGCGTTTCGGGAGCCGGAAGGGACCCGAGATCCAGGCCCTCAGACTCCGTGCAAACCCCGTCCGGCCGGGAGAGGAGGGCCGCGAGCGCAGGCCAGTGCCGGCATCTGGGCATCCATGACCGGTCACCTCGGGGAGCCACACGTGGCTGAGCGGCGGCCGGACAAGGTGGTGAGGGACCCGGGGCGGGAGGATGCCCGGGAGCCCCCAGCGAGTCCACGTGTGGAGTCTGCACACGTGTTGCAGGCGGTGAACACGAGCAGCACGCGTTTCATCTGAGATTTGGGAGTCACTGGTTCAAACGGCAAGAACCCAGATGAAAAGGGGAAGTAAAAGGGGCTGGAAGGAGGGCGGTGGGTAGGAGGAGGAGGAGGAGGAGGAGGAAAGGGAGGGAGCGAGAGAGGAAGGGAGAGGGAGGGGAAGGGAGGGAGGGAGGAGAGAGGATGAGAGGGAGGGAGGGTAGGAGGGAGAGGGAGGGAGGGAAGAAGGGAGGAAGGGAGGGAAAGAGAGAGGGAGAGACAAAGAGAGAGGGAAGGAGGGAGGGAGGGAAGAGAGGGAGAGGGAGGGAGGGAGAGGAGAGAGCGGGTGCGGGGGACTGAGGCGGCGGCCACGCGGTACCTGAGGCGTTGGTGCGGAGGTAGAGGATGTCGCTCTTGGCCCCGCGGATGTGGTCGTTGTCCACCATGGTCAGCGTCACGGCCTTCACGTAGATGGCGTACTGCGTCCAGGGCTTCAGGCCGTGCAGCAGGATGCCGGGCTCCACGTCCTTGTTGGCGGGCAGGTCCACGTCCACCATGTTCCAGCTGTTGGAGCCGCAGGCGTCCTGGCCGTCGTACTCGGTGACGTTCTTGTAGGGCCTGGGAGACGGGCGAGCGAGAAGCTCAGGGCCGCCCTGGGCGCCGACCGACCCGGGCTCTCAGAAACCCTCCCTGCTCTTTTTTTATTTTGTTTATGTTTATCTACCTATTTATCTTATTTTATTATTATTATTAAAAACAACCCCTTTCTTTTTTTAAAGAAATATATTGGTATTGATTTCAGAGAGAGGGAGAGGGAGAGAGAGAGGAACTTCCATGATGAGAGAGAATCATGGATGGGCTGCCTCCTGCACACCCCCTACTGGGGGTCGAGCCTGCAACCTGGGCAAGTGCCCTGACCGGGAATTGAACTGTGACCTCCTGGTTCATAGGTTGATGCTCAATCCCTGGGCCACGCGGGCCGGGCTCCTTTGCATTTATTTTATTCAAACGCCTCCACCCCCTGAAGCCAGTGCCTTCTCACGTGTGGCTGCCACTGGCAGTGAGGGACGTCAGGTAACAGGGGAGGAAGCAAGGACCCACCCCCCCGCCACCCCCGCCCCCAGGATGGGCCGCCGGCAGGACTCACGCTTCCTTGTAGTAGACGGTGAAGCTGATGAGGTCCCTGTAGTCTGGGGGCCGGTACCGGTGCCACGTGACGATGATGCGGTTCTTCCAGGTGTTGGTGGAGGTGAAGTGCAGCATGTCGCTCTCACCTGGGGCGCAGAGCACAGCCGTGAGGGGCGGACCCCCACCACCTCCTGCTCCCCGTGTCTGCGGGGTCCCCTGCCCTGCGCCGCTTCCCTCCTCTCTAAGGCTGCTGCTCCCTGACTGCGGTCACAGGCAGCGACGGATGTCATGTGACAGCGGGGGAGGGCCCAAGGAGGCAGCATGGACCCCCGCCCCCCCCCCAGAGCTCCTCTCTGGACGTCTCAGTGGCTTTCTTATTTCTACTAAGAAACAACCCAAATATGGGTTTCACCCCACGGAGCTCCCAAGGGCTCCTGAAGGAGGCCCCGTGTCCCCCCACTCACCCCCCGGGTGGAATGAGGAGGGACGGACACACACACACACACACACACACACACACACACACACACGGATGGTCTTGATTGGAAGAGGGGTCCCTTTATTACCCAGCAGGGCCCACAGGGTTTGGATTAGAGGAGAATTAAGAGACAGTAAAGGCAGAGATTGAGCTGCATGTCGCCAACACACGCACACACGTGTGCACACATGCACACACACATACATGTGTGCGCACACAGGCACCCACTCACAGGAGGCCCGCTCCCCGTTGTTCCGGGTGTTGATGTCGCCTTTGCCCTGGCGCCCCTTGGCCCCCGTCATCTCCTCCATGCGGTAGATCTCGGACACGCACAGCTTGGGGTTGAAGGCGAAGTACATCTTCCCGGACTTGATGGTCAGGTTGTGGTGGTCCCAGTCCCACAGCTGCTGCAGGTTCTGGTTGTCCAGGACGTAGAAGGAGTAGTTCCTGCCAACACAGCGGCCGGCGTGAGCGCCCCGACGCCCCGGCCCCCTCCGCTCCAGCCGCCGCCGGCCCCACACGTCCCCGCGGCTCCGGAGGGCACGTCTCGGCCGGGAGAAACGGAGCCGTCGGTGGCCTATGCGAACAGTTACCCTTAACAGTGGCGATCACGGGATGCGAGGGCCGTGTATTCACGTCGATACGGAGCCCTGGCCGGGTTGCTATGTGGTTAGAGTGTCGGCGTGCAGACCAAAGGGTCTCAGGCCCCGTTCCCAGCCAGGGGTACGTACCTGGGTACAGGTTCCACCCCCGGCCCTGGTTCTGGGCATGTGTGGGAGGCAACCAGTCATTACGTCTCTCTCATCATTGATGTCTCTTTCTCTCTCTCTCTCTTTCTCTCCCCCCCACCCCCTTCCCTTCCTGTCTGAAATCAGTAAAAATAAATTTAAACAGCATCCGGAACCGGGAGTCTGACGCGCGAGCCACAGGCACGCGGAAAGGCTGTGTGTGGGGTGAACCTCTCTGAGAACCAAGGCGATCTTTCCGCCGCGAACACAAAGGCTGTTTACAGCACGGAGAAGGCCGGGGAACCGGATCCCGGGAGCCACAAAACCCAGGCATACGGAGCCGGCGTAAGGGACAGAGAAACAACACCGAAACCCTTGTCCAGTCAGTTACTCAGTAAGTGCAATTTCCTCATTGTTTCAAGGCTCACTGCCTTTACATCCAAAGACTATATTTAAAAAAAAAAAAATTTTTTTTTTATTGATTTCAGAGAGGAAGGGAGAGGGAGGGAGAAACATCCATGATGAGAGAGAATCACGGATTGGCTGCCTCCTGCACGCCCCCCACTGGGGATCGAGCCACAGTGCAACCCGGGCCTGTGTCCTGACCGGGAATCGAACCGGGGACCTCCTGGTTCATAAGGCTGACGCTCTAACCACTGAGATACACCGGCCAGGGCTCCTTTTTTCTTCTTGACAAGAGGGGGCTCTTACCTCGGGAACACAGAACCCTCCAAGGGCACAGCCGACCCTGGGCCGCGCAGGCGCGCGCAGGCAGCACTCACCCCTCCAGCTGGTCCTCGCCGAGGATCTGGCGGAGGCTCTTGAAGAAGGACAGGGAGACCAGTGCGTGGGAGTGGCGGATCTTGATGTAGCCCGTGACCACCTCGATGAGCCCCATGAAGTTCTCCAGTTCCGAGGCGATGTTATCTGCGGGAAGGGGGCGCCGCGTCACCCAGCTCTCGCAAGTGACGCCATGGCAGGGCCTGCTCTGGGGGTGACTCTGAGATGCTCAGGCTGCTGGTGCGGGAGCCCCCTCCACCCCCCACCCCCACCCCCACCCCCAGGCGGTGGAAGGTGTGTTTGTAGGAGGCTGGACGTGGTAGCTCCCAGGCGGAGGAAAAGGAAGTAAAATCATAAATGCCAGGCCGCCAATTAGCTAAGGCCACCGCGTCGGGAGAGCAGCTTTTTGTTGTATTTTGTTTTTCTTAAAAAACAAAACACAACGCGTATTTTTATTGATTTCAGACAGGAAGGGAGAGGGAGAAGGAAACATCCATGATGAGAGAGAATCGTGGACCGGCTGCCTCCCGCACGCCCCCTAGTGGGGATGGAGTGCACAACAGGGCATGCGCCCTGATGGTGAATCGAACAGTGACCTCCTGGTTCGTGGGTCGATGCTCAACCCCTGAGCCAGCGGGCTGGGCTCCGCACTGTGTCTCCAGGCCTGTATTTCAGTTGTGAGTCGGGGACGGGTAGAAATGGCACCAACCCAAGAAAACCAAGAGATCCTGCAGGATGCGGGCGGGGGAGGGGGGCGGACACGGGGGGGGGGGGGGGGGGGGGGAAGGGAGGGAGAGATACTTACTCCCCCTGCGGATGTTAATGAGCAGGTTGCCCTTGAAGATGGTGCAGCCCTGAAGCATCTGAGCCGAGGTCACGGAGTCAATGGTCTTCGTCCCCTTGTCTTCCTCACAGATTTTGGGGCACGGCCCTTCGCAGGGGATGCAGTACATGCTGCGGGAGAGAAAGAAGCCCCCCCAAATGCGAGGTCAGTGCCTCCTCGCCCCGACGAGAGCCCACACGGATCCGTGTTCATTCTAGCCGGCCACGCGATCCACACCGCTGTGTGGTGGTGGTGGCTGTTGAAAATATTGGGTGTCCCAAAATTCACGCAAGAAGTAATTTTGATGGAAAACACAGGTTTATAATTAAAAATTGTACATTTTTAAAAAATACATATTTTATTGATCTTTTACAGAGAGGAAGGGAGAAGGAAAGAGAGTTAGAAACATCGATCAGCTGCCTCTTGAGCATCCCCTACTGGGGATGTGCCCGCAACCAAGGTACATGCCCTTGATCAGAATCGAACCCGGGACCCTTGAGTCCGCAGGCCGACGCTCTATCCACTGAGCCAAACCGGTCAGGGCTGTAAATTTCTTATTGATTCACAAAGTATACAGGACAGGGTTCTGTAGGGTACAGCATATCGGGTAAACTGAATTATCATGTCGCGATAGCGAGCACCATTGACTGTTATTGCCTGAGCAGCCGCATTTTCGAAGAAGAATGGTCTGATGATGCCTCCAGCCCAACACCCACACTAAACAGTCACACGTTGTGGATGCATTTGTTTCCCAACAATCCCTCGTGGATTTTCTGAACCCCGAATGCGACAATTTTGTCGATGAACCAAGCCATCAAGATGAAAATGAGCCTCATCGAAATTCAGCCACATGTATGCAAAAACGGTCACGGAAAATTTCAACAAAAGGCTGCGTATGTGCCAGCAGAGCCGTGGAGGCCACTGACCCGATGTGCTATCCCATACATCACCCTAGACTGTGTACTTTATGAACCCATAACAAATTTACAATTTTTCATTATAAACCTGTGTTTTCTATCAACATTACTTCTTGCGTGGATTTTGGGACGCCCTTTCTATTTGTCAACATGTAGCGTAGGCCCGCTCTCTCAGGTGGACCCACCCCCGTCACCTCCCCAGGGTCCCCCCCCCCCCTCAGAAGGGACAAAGGCTGGGGCCTGGGGGACCCCCGGGCCGGGAGACCGACCTCAGGCTGTCGTTGCGGATGAAGCCGGAGGGGCACTCCTGCATGCACTCGCCGTCGTGAATGACGAAGCCCTCCAGCTCGAAGCTGTCGGCGTTGGGGATGGTGGCGCAGAAGTCGCGGTCCACGCAGCGCCAGCCCTCGAAGCGGTAGGTGTTGGGGGGGCAGTCGGTCACGCAGACGCCCTCGTGGTAGTAGTGCTTGCAGGCCACGCAGGCCGCCTGGTCGTCGGGGGCCGTGCAGCCGCCCAGGCACTCGGGGTGGCAGCACTCGTTGTTGTCCGTGCACGCCCGCTTCCCGCACGCGCTCGGGCAGGCTGTGGGGCAGAAGGGACGCGGTGAGCATGTTGCTTTTCTTTTTTTAAAAAAAATAGATTTTTATTGATTTCAGAGAGGAAGGGAGAGGGAGATCAATGATGAGAGATAATCATGGATCGGCTGCCTCCTGCTTGCCCCCGACTGGGTATCGAGCCTGCAACCCGGGCCTGTGCCCTTGACTGGGAATCGAACCCGGGACCTTTCAGTCCGCAGGCTGACGCTCTATCCACTGAGCCACACTGGTTTCGGCAGAGGAACTGTATTTAAAGGGCCAGAAGGTTGAGAACCGCTGAGTTACTAGACGGAGCAACTGGACGCAGGGAGACTCCAAGGCCCCCGGAACCCGCCCCCCCAAACAAGTCTGATTCCCGAGACCAAGTCTGATTCACGCTCATCACCGATTCCTAGGCTCAGCCAGAGGGAGAAACAGCCTGTGCCCCCCCCCCCCCCATCCCCGGCCCCAGGGACCTTGTCCCTGCCCAGCCGGTACAGAGGGGAGGCCGAGGGGTGCAGGGAAACGGGTGACGATGGCTCCTGAATGCCGCTGCGAACGTTTCATTAGCCAACAAAGGCAACAGTCACCTCCACACAATACCGGTCGCACGGCTTCCGTCTCTCCCGGACCCGACAGGCGGTGCTGGGCGGACTACTGAGAGGATATGGAAGAAAGAAGGTCCCCCAAGAAAGCAGAGGGGGGGGTGGCAAGTTACAATGGCAACGGTATCAAGTAAAAATTTCAAGAGCTCATTAGTGAGAGGGGAGAAAAGGCTGCCACCAGCGCAAAGATACAAAGCAGGCTCGCCACCCTCGGGGAATGCAGGGCGGGCCGGAATCCTCTGGCGGGGCTGTGGGTTATGGTTTTTTTTTTAAATCCATTTTATTTTATTAGAAAAATATTTTTATTATCAGAGAGGAAGGGAGAGGGTGAGAGAGAGAGAAACATCGATGAGAACAGAGAATCATGAATCAGCTGCCTCCTGCATGCCCCACCCTGGGGATGGAGCCTGCAACCCGGGCATGTGCCCCGAAGGGGAATGGAACCGTGACCTCCTGGTTCCTAGGTCGATGCTCAACCCCTGAGCCTTGCGGGCCAGGCTAGACAAGATTTAATGGGAGAAAAAAAATTAAGGAAAAGGAGGGGAGACAGTTCCCCGGACCAGGCAGGACCCGCCTGCTCTAGTGAAGTGTGGTGAGGGCGGCCTGCGTCCAGTTCTTCACCAGGGATGCACAGCTGTCTCACACACAACTCACACCCCCTCAGCCTGCTTTTAAAATTTTATTCTTATTATTTTGTAGTATTTCTCCAGAAGAGGAGGAGGAGGAGGAGGGAGAGGGGGAGAGAGAGAGAGAAAGGAAGGAGAAAGATCCCCATAGATTCTGCTCCACCTTCCCCAGCGTTGTGACCGCCAGGCACGGCCACAGAAAGACGCCCGTCGCCTGTCACAGATGCTTCCATGGCCAGGGCGGAGAGGGGGAAAAAAATATCTTTTTCACACACTTCAAAATGACTCCAAGTTATTTTAGATCGGGAACTGTTTGTATATTCCTTATAAGTTTATGAAACGCGCACTGTCCCTCCGTGACTAAGGGCAGAGGAATTGGGAGAGGAGTCTATATTTATCGCTTGTCTGAGGCTCCGAGCTCGCGGCCCTGGTTCCACTCTCTGTTACTGTACACGGAGCTGTGCGAGGCCCCGCGGGCTCCGCGGCGTCGCCGCCGATTTCCTAACAAGGCAGGCCCGGGCCCCGCAGGGACACACACACCGGGGGCTCGCGTTCAAGGGCAAGCTCAGCTCAGAGGGCGAGGGAGGCCTCTGGCTCTGGTTGCGGCTGCATCTCAACACCGGTGCTGGGGCCCGTTTCTGGACAGTGACACGCCTTCCTGGTATCGACCCAGGTATCCACGCTGCTGATAGATGCCTACTGTATACACCCAGGGTATCCAGTGGGAGCCGCAAAGAACATTCCTTCTTACTTTTTAAAATATATTTTTATTGATTTCAGAGAGAGGGAGGAAGAAGGGGAGAGAGAGAGAGAGAAACATCCATGATGAGAGAGAAATCATGGACCGGCTGCCTCCTGCACGCCCCCTACTGGGGATCGAGCCTGCAACCCAGGCCTGTGCCCGGACCGGGAATCGAACCGTGACCTCCTGGTTCTGTGACTGCTAGTGAGGCTGGGAATCCCCACCACCCACATTTTTTTTTTTCAAAAAAATCACTTGTGGTCCCTTTACATGTCTCTTAGTGTCTTTGGTCCATTTTCTTCTTGGGAGCTTAAGTTTTTACTGTATGTTTATATATTTTTTAAGCCCTTAAAAAAAGCATCTAGTATGTGCCTTGAAAGTATTTGTCTTGTCCGGCTCAGTGGTGGAGCATCAACCTATGAACCAGGAGGTAATGGTTTGATTCCGGGTCAGGGCACATGCCCGGGTTGTGGGCTCCATCCCCAGTAGGGGGCGTGCAGGAGGCAGCCCATCCATGATTCTCTCTCATCATGGATGCTTCTCTCTCTCTCTCTCCCTCTCCCTTCCTCTCTGAAATCAGTAAGGTAAAGAAATAAAAGTGTCTATCTTAGGTGGCCTGAGAGAAAGAATACACACCTCCTCCCCCTGCTTCTGTGACGAAGGAGAGGCGTGGACAGCAGTGAGTATACACCAGGAAACTCATTTATTGCCCTCCCGGCCTCCCTGGTCGTCCCTGCTTTGATCGTGTTCCTTCCTGATGGCACGTGTCTGGGCGTGGAAACACGTACTCCAGAGCCTAACGTCACCGCGCGCCTTCCCGTTACCTAATCTGACGGCCGGCCCTGCTTCCTGAGGTTGGAGTCTCCTTACGGCTGTGGGGAAACCGCAAAAGACCCGCCAGGCGTTTGTTTCCAGGGCGAGTCAGCTCTGTCCTCAGGGCACGGCGGGGAGCAGGGTGTCTTGGGCGGCCACAGAATGATGGCCACGCGAACCCCAGGAGAAGCAGGTTTGGGGGGGCTGGGCCGTGGCGCGCCTGCCCCCACAAAAATGCAACAGTTCATGTGTCTGATGAGTCACAAGGGCCCCGGGAAAACCATACACGTGCAGGAGGTTAACTAACTGTCCTTGCAAAGATGAGTGCGAAAATGAAAAACAAAAAAACAGCCCTGACTGGTTTGGCTCAGTGGATAGAGCGTCGGCCTGCGGACTGAAGGGTCCCAGGTTCGATTCCGGCCAAGGGCATGTACCTTGGTTGCGGGCACATCCCCTGTAGGGCGTGTGCAGGAGGCAGCTGATCGATGTGTCTCTCTCATCGATGTTTCTAACTCTCTATCCCTCTCCCTTCCTCTCTGTAAAAAATCAATAAAATATATTAAAAAAACAAAAAACAAAATCTGCCATTCCCATGGAAGCCTGTTGCTTCGTATTTTTTTTTTTGGTGGGTGATGGAGGCATTGCATTGGATAAGCATGTTATTGATCTTTTTAAAAAAATGTATATTTTTATTAATTTCAAAGAGGAAGGGAAAGGGAGAGAGACAGATAGAAACATCAGTGCTGGGAGAGAATCATGGATCGGCTGCCTCCTGCACGCCCCCTACTGGTAATCGAGCCCGCAACCTGGGCATGTGCCCTGACCGGGAATCGAACCCTGACCTCCTGAGAATATTTTTTTCATTTTATTTTTTTAAGAGAGAGCGGAATGGAGGGGATGAGGCACACAGAGAGAAACATTGATGTGAAAGAGACACATTGACTGGTTGCCTCCCACACGTGCCCCTGAAACCGAGGTACGTGCTCTTGACCTGACTCAAACCTGCAGGCCCTTCAGTCCACCGGCTGACACTCTAACCAGTGAGCCAAACCGGCTAGGGCCTAGGCTAACTTCTTGGCCCTTCCCGTAAACACTGTCAAACCCCAAACTACCCAAGTCACTTAAAAATAAAAATAAAAATTTTAAAAGGGGGGGGGGGCTCTCCAGCATCAATATCTTCTTCAAACATCTTATCCAAAATCCTGGACTTGCATACACTGAAAAGAAGAATCTGGAAATGTTTGAGGCAGCGGTTCTCAACCTGTGGGCCGCGACCCCTTTGGGGTCCGAATGACCCTTTCACAGGGGTCGCCTAAGACCATCGGAAAACACATACCGTATATAACTACATATTGTTTTTGTGATGAATCACGATGCTTTCATTATGTTCAATTTGTAACCATGAAAATCCATCCTGCATATCAGACATTTACATGACGATTCATCACAGTAGCAACATGACAGTGATGAAGTAGCCACGAAAATAATTTGATGGTTGGGGGTCACCACAACACGAGGAACTGTATGAAAGGGTCGCGGCATTAGGAAGGTTGAGAACCACTGGTCTAAGGAGTCCTCTCTCTCAGCACAACCTCCTTGAATATCATGGCCAAGCTGCTGCTGTCCGAGTTGCAGCGCATCCTCACGGCCAGCAGGGGGCGCACGAGACCGGGGCGCGGGCCCCACTTTGCACATCATCCCTTTGGAAGCGTCTGCGTTTTGCTCACACAGAGAGAACAAGTACTGGCAAGTGACAAAAAAAAAAGAAAAAAAAGAACATGTTTTGCAAACAATCGGAGTGACCTGAAACCCCCGGGTAAAGCCTGAAGTCAGCGTTTGTTCATCGCAGCAGCTGGGGCCAGACTCTGTGCAAACGCTTGTTAAGTGGGGGCGCTGAAGGGAGGGCTGTGTGTGTGTGTGTGTGTGTGTGTGTGTGTGTGTGTGTGTACCTGTGCTTCTTGGTTTCCGTTCACCTGGGAGGACCTCTCTCACCTAAGGCCCACGCCCCGCCCCCAGTCTGGGCTGCGCGAGGCTTTGTTTTGCCGGAGTCTGGAGCATCTTTGAAAGGGAGACGGATGCCCAAAGCGAGGAGTCATCGTTTTTTCTGGGGCTGAAAGCAACCCCGAGAATTTGGCATGCGGGCGAGCGTGTCTTGTCTTCGTCTGGCAGAAGAAGAAAGGGAAGAGCCAGGGGAGCCCAGCTGCGAATGTCACCCCACGCA